TTGCGTCTTAGCTTATAATACAAAATCTGGTCGTATTTTGTTTCCAACCAAATTAAACAAAACAAACTATTATATGGTATATATATATGAATTTAAAATTAAAATCACTTTGATGAAATTAAATCAATGCCAGCATCGTATAGATCGATGAGGAGTATTAGGGATGGCCGAAAGACGATTTCAATACAACTGTAGGTACAATAAACAATACTCGGGGGAATCCACCAATTGCCTGTTCCGTATATTTCATTATACAGCCGTTCATCATTTTCTTATTAATATTTCGTTCTCAACTGTGTCTTTTCATTTTCATTGACAAAAAAATCTTTTTCAGATACCTTAAATAATTTTCCATTCAATATAAGAATGTAAGAAAATTGATGTTATTTTAATTTTAATATGTATACTATTGTTTGAATTTATTTAAATTTAAAACAAGTAAAGTCACGATATAAAGTTAGTGAACTATTGAAGGTTGTTAAATTTTAAAATCTCCCTTACTCTGTATGGCTTTGCAGTAATTACGAAGCTGTAAATGGACTTCTTGAGGAAGCCAAGAGCCTTTTAATTACGAACCCCAGTGGAGCTGAGAAAACAATGACTATTATGTAGTTGATTAATTTGGTAACTACTATAATATGATATGACGAAATTTATAATCTCGTCGTATTCTGTTAATAGATATGTGCTACGTCGTAGCACTAGAGATGCTACGTAGCTGCTACGAGCTGTGTAAGCTCTACGTCGTAGCCGATACCTCTCACCCCTTGACTATACAATTCGTTTGATTCCCGTGTAACGCATTTACACCCTAAGCCGGGGTATTTGCGTAATTGATATTTACAACTAACCTGGATTTCAAAACGCTTTCGGGATTAAGCGGAGATTTGTTTGGATTTTCTTCGTTGGAGTACTTCCTAAAGGCGGCCGTAATAGCTAATAACATTAGAGTTTGAGAGACTCCGTTACTTAAATCAGATTGTATTCCCTTCATTGTTGAATTGATTTTATTTTTATTTACTTTAAGGATAACAGGATGGGGTATTTTAGATTCACAACACGCAACATCTGTGCTATAAGTAAGAATTTCATGAGCTAGTATCAAAAATAAATAAATAAATTCAGTTAGTATTTCCAGTATAATAACAATTTATTTATTTAGAAATGATATTTGTACGTACAATTTCTATTACATTTGTATATTATAAAACAGTCGTATTTGTATTTGCTTGTTAATGCGACCGATCACAGAAATTCAAGAAACAATAACGCTCTGAACGGAACGTGAGCGACGCGGCCCCGGACAGATTAGGAGACGACAAAGAAAATAAGAATCTGCGAACCGAATATCACAGCAAATACGAATGTTTGTCTTCCATTTTTATATTCCCATCCCGTATAACAGATATTATGAAGCACGGTTGTTGTACCTTCAAAATAATCTTATTCTTTTATAAAGAAACATTTAATTTAGCAAAGTAACCTACTTAAAGCAAACGGCTCTCGTAATGAGACGGATGAGAACGTACTGTTAGATTCATACAATTAATTGATTGTACTCACATATCACTAATATATAATTCTTCTTCTACCTGGCAATTTTCCAGCTTTAGTCAGGGTCTGCCTTACATGTTGTGAAATAATTTTTGCTAATTGTTTTTACGACCGGCCACCTGCCTGACATCAACCGTTTTTGGGAATAATATATGTACTAATATATAATTCTTAACTATAATGAAATCATTATATTATTGTATCGTTATTGTTGTCAAAGTTTTTCGTTTCATTCATTCCTGTATCCAGCCCCGGTCATAAAATAAATCTGGTCATAAATAAAAGGAAGACGCTAACAAGCGGCTCGGATTCAGCGACTTATATTTCTCTAGAATACCGCCATTTCTGTCATAACTCTATTATGTTAAAGAAATACGATAAATGTAATAAATAATTCATTGATTTTTTTTAACTAGTGTATTAAGAATTGTTACTAAGGTAATGTATCTGATTTATCTTACTTTATTTATATATATACATATATTATATGCTTATATATTGCAATAACAATGTATGGTAGTTTATTGAAAAAACTTATCGCATCCTCCTAATGAGCGTCTAAATTTATTACATGTTTTATTCACTCCAGACGTCTCACAAGACAGGCTCGAATCACTTAAATTTTTTTCTATACAATTCCAGATTTATTTCCATTTAAACGGAAAAGTAGTGGAGTGACTTCAAAGATATTTTTAATTCAATCCATTAGCATTTAAACGAAGTCTAACAAATAGTTTCACTACCATTGTTCATTACATTTTTTATCTCTATACATTCTTTTAAAAGATTTTTTTTATATAAAACTTATTTTTTTGCCCTGTTTAATTAATTATGGCTTTTTGTTTTTGAATTTGTTCACAATTCGGTTGGTGACTTCTATGGTTATGCATTCGATTTGATCGCTGGGTGGTCGGGAAACAAATTTAACCGACAATTGTAAATCAATTAGAGAGGGTGGCGCAGGGTGTAATGGCTACCCTCCCACGTGCTCACCAGGGTTGAAATCGAATCATTTGTAATGACTAAATATCGACGAATTATCATTTACTTGCAATTGTGAACGTCGTATAAAAATCCTTGTATATTTATTATGTTATTGTGAAAAATGTTTTACAGATAACACTTATACATATATTATTAAATTATTATATATCTAAAATAAATAACAAATATAAGTTTATATAGTTTTGTATTTTGATACGTAGTTAATCGATATTAAAATTAATTAATTTTAAATTGTAAGTCCGTCCCTGTTTATAAGTATTCATAGTAAGGAGTGTTCAAGTGCATATTGTACGCAATGTACCCCTCGTGCCCTCTTCACGTCTCGCCCAGGAGTTGTCTTCGAGAATTGAGAAAACAGCCAGAAATAGAGTTAATTACAGTATGTTACTACTTCATAGAGTATTATACACTTATAGACATACATGTGTTCTGTGTGTGAATCAATTTAAGGTTCTCATTGTTTTGTACAACTATTTCTATTTAATTTCTTCTTAATTATGTATAAAGAACATGTTAATTGTATACCTATGCAAAGTATTATGTGTTGTATAATTTATATGTATTTATACTAAGAAAAGCACCAGTTAATTAGTTCAAAATATTAATATACATCTTATATCAGTTCTTGCTTCATACGTATTTATTTCAAATAAAACCATATTGTATTACAATTAAGTATGTGAAAGTCTTAACAGCGTGGAAGAGGAAGTCTCGTAAAGTCATACCGCTACAGACGACAAAGTTAGTTACTCACTACTTGTTTGAGTGGATCTTGGTCAGCTGATACTAATACGAAATTAACTGAGATCTTCTTTATACTCTCATAGAAAAGTTACAAATACTGTACTGTAATTAATCTCTAAAAGTTATAAGTAATATTCGTCTAATAAGAAAACGTTAGAATTTAATGAGACGTATAGAAAAAAGTCACTTTAAAATACTGAATATTATGTATGACATTAAATATATTTCAACTTTATATTATAAATTAATATACCAACAAAGTACAATGATAGTATACAGATAAATATATTAAACTTGTGCTATAATTATAGCATTTTTGACGTCATATAATTACAGACGTCGGTGCATTAGCGAACAATGTATAAGCGATCATGAGGGGAGCTATATGGAAAGATAATCTCTGTTTTACCCCCAGTTATATTTACGTTTATTGAAACATGAATATATATTTATTTAATAATATCAATTCATCACATTTATAATCATTATGCGAGTTCTTCTTCTTCCTGGCAATTTTCCAGCTTTAGCCAGGGTCTGCCAAATTCTATCTTTCTGGGTCTGTTATGCGAGTTATAATTTTAAAAGTATTTTCAATTTTGATATAGTTCTCTTTATATAAATCTAGATGACTGTGTAAGTATAAGTATGATACGTCCATTATAGAGTTGTGGCCTGCGGAAGCTTGTGGCTAGCATTTAATTCCTTCATTCAGCGTTTTAATTGTCAGAAACCAGATGATGTGACCTTAATGCAGTGTGCACGATAATAAGTTAGCAATTATCAACGCTAAATAAACATACATATTATCTAGCTATACTAAAGAGGTAATACAATAATTATTTGTTCGTCAACTTGTGTTAATATGTAGTTTTATAGGTAAAAATATGTAGCTTGTGTTACAAATAGTATTAAAAAAGCTTCGCAGTAACTGTCGACTTGTCACCCCGTCCAGCCCAAACTAAACGCATTAGCGTAGTCGAAGCGTCGCGTCGTTTCCACTTGGTTATGCCTTTTATGCGACGATTCATTACTACAGGGGGAATAGATACCCACATTTATTACTTTTGTCAGCGGAAAAATGAATTTACACACCAGTAACCTTTATTTTATTAATGTTTTAAAAAGATTTGATGTCTTTTTCGTTGGTGGTTGACTTTAATTGCGTGAGGGATAATATTAATATTTAATTTTGTAAATTTAGAGTGTTTGAACCCATTCTAATAAACTAAGGTGATACGTGTCCAAGTGAAATAATATGTATGATCGTTGAAAAACTTTTATGTCTGATATTGAAATCAGAAACACACCGACATTTGTTAGATAAATTAAAATATCCATATGCTAAGCTAAGTACGTGCAATTTAAGTTTGAAAACAATATTCTTCAAACTGCAGGATATCGAGATATTGATAATAATGTTGTTATGAACGCGCGCGCTATTAAATTGCCTCCAACGAACACTTCACTCCCTACACACCTGCATGTCTCTTCTTTGCTCGCATTTTAATTCCATTCCCTCATATTCCCATCTCATCGTTTTAATTATCGGAAAATAGAATCGTTTAACAGGTATGCTCTCTTAAATGAAACATGTTTATTACTGATATTTTTTTACAATCAGAAATTTTGCAATTTTTCATGTTCTGTATTAATGTTTTTTATATGTAGAGATGATTAAATAAGTGTTTTTGTTCCAGAAATAGTCAATATGAAAATTTCCATGTTGAACAGAAGGGTTACGATCAGATGTACGATGGCGAGGACCTTGAAACACCTCCATCTCCAGAGAGACCACCTCCTCGGCAAATAGGTGCTGTTACAAACATTTGTTAAAATAACTATAGATTCATTTTTTTATACGTTTCCTTGTTATTTTGACTAAGTATAATAAGATTTTGTTTAGAGGTCATTACTGCTTAAAGTTCACACAGCCACACAGATGTACATACATATATGTATACTCCGCGAAGTATTACATATGTAAATATAATGTATTTATTATCATTTGTAAATCAAATTCAATAAAACCCATTTAGTCGTTTCACCAAAGTAACACATATACACACTATTATACAATTAAAACATTATAAGTTATTTCCATATAGATAAGTACGTGAAGGCTGAATGTCCATGTCTGAGTGCCCGGTACACGGTGGCTCTGCTGGCCTGCTTTGGATTCAGTATCATGTTCGGAATGAGATGCAACATGAGCATGGCCAAGTTGAAGATGATGGAGAAACAAAACGTAATGCTCTCAAACTTAATACATCCAGTGATTTGACACTTTTTGATAATGGCTCATTTCTTTACGGTTTATTCAAAGCGCAGTTTTAAGTCCAGGAATGTTTCAGACGTCATCTGGAGTGGTCGAAGATACGCCATTTAATTGGACAGTTGAAGTTGAATCATCCATCGATTCATCCTACTTCGCCGGTTATCTGATCACTCAAGTGCCCGGTGGTTTCTTGGCCTCTATGTACCCGGCAAATAAGATTTTCGGCGCCGCGATAGTTGCTTCCGCAATATTTAACATGGCTATCCCAGGAGCGATGTCTATAGGTCCTGTTGCTGTTGTTTTCTTGAAAGTAGCTCAGGGCTTCGTTGAAGTAAGTGAACTGAACTTTATTTAAATATATACAAAGTTACAGTCATGTACATAAAGATGAAGTAAGATAAAGTAAACATGTAACAATCATAACAATACATGCATAGAATTTGTAAATTTGGCATTCAGTTCGTGACGAGGCATGATCAAGCTTATTAGTGATGTTAAAATTTTGATCCCTGTCTCCCAGCAAGTGTTAGCGTCACGTTTGGTTACGACACCCTTTGTATTTTAAATTGTGTCGATTGTGCAAAAGCAAACAGATTATTTTCGGAAACTTTCCACTTATGTAGAACATCGTAATTACTACAAAAACTACAAATAAAACCATTGAATTATAAAAAAAAATGTTGAAATTACTGAAGTACAAAGATCATGAGTATAATTTTAAATTACAAATTTAATATAGAATATAAGATATTTAGTAAATCGTACTCGAATCTGTCGAAATCGTTTCCTAAAGTACAAAGCCTCTTTAGGATTATTGAGCCCCTGGTTACCATAGTTACGTATTTATTCGCCTGTACCCGGCTTAGTTGTGTCGTCAATGGCATGGTATCCTATTAAATCTTATACTGAGATATCGAAACGATTCTATAAATCACATACGTATATTTAATCCATTATAAAAGGTATTGAAACTCTGATATGATTATTTTTTTTGATGTCAAGCATAATTCGTAAAATTGCTATTTCCTTGTATTCTTTTATGAAAAATTTAATATAGTATAAAATTACTTTAAAATATATACTTTGTAGGGTGTAACTTATCCTTCGTGCCACGGTATCTGGCGAATGTGGGCTCCACCTCTAGAACGATCTCGTTTGGCTACCTTGGCATTTTGTGGGACTTATGCTGGCATTGTTATTGGCATGCCACTATCAGGTCTACTCACCGATTATATTTCTTGGCAGACTCCCTTTTACTTTTATGGAATATCTGGTGTTATCTGGTAAGAAATAAAACTTCTGTAGTCTCAATTATTCGTATTATACATATTTATTATCTTTTCCGTCTGATTCAGTACGACAAAAAACTCTGTGTAATCAGTTCGGTTGTTTTAGGTATTTTATGTGGCTTTGGTTAGTGTTTGAGAGGCCAAGCAAACATCCTCATATATCGGGCAAGGAACTAACGTATATTGAACAATCTCTTGGAACACAGTCGCAAGCTGCTATGCCTGGTTTTTGGAATACCCCTTGGAAGGAATTTGCTACTTCAAAACCTGTAAATATCACTTATGTAATTCAATAGTCAATGGCACGTTGTTTAATGTTATTTAACCGGTAAATTTTCGCAGGTGTATGCTATAATAGTGGCTAATTTCTGCAGAACGTGGAATTTTTGTTTACTCGTCATCTTCCAATCTGCATATTTTAAAACCAGATTTAATATGCAGATAACTGAGGTAAGTTATTAGTTGCTTATGCAAAGATTTAATTGTCAATTAGTCCTATGTAGTTTTTGAGTAGATATGATAAAGTACTGATTATATATTTTGTAATAACATAGTCTGGATTCGTCGGAGCTATACCTCATTTGATTATGACGTCATTGGTACCAATTGGAGGAATGATGGCTGATTACTTGCGAAAAAACAATATAATGTCCACGACTAATGTGCGGAAACTATTCAACTGCGGCGGTTTTGGTCTCGAAGCCTTCTTCTTCGTTCTCATTGCGTATGCTGATAATAAGGTAATAATTAAAAATTGACTTTTAAAGAAAGTGATTTCTTACTGTTAACTTAAAAACGATAACGCGATGTGCACATACAATTGAATTTTTTTTTATAAAAAATCATTTAAGGAACATTTAAATAAGACTTTATTATTACTAAAATTTTGACTATTAATCGCAGTACATAGCTACGATAGAGATGACCTTGGGCGTGGCCTGCAGTGGTTTTGCTATATCTGGTTATAATGTCAATCATCTTGACATCGCTCCACGGTATGCCTCCATCCTTATGGGTCTGTCCAACGGTATTGGTACTATTGCTGGCTTCATCGTTCCGATCGTCATCGATAACATTACAAAGGAAAAGGTTAGTTGAAATTATATTATCAAAGTAAAAAAAAAAACTATCCTATAAAAAGATTTTTTGTCTTTCCATGCTATAAAAATTTGAATAAGTTAATTATTATATAGTCCTTTTTCTAACGGGCGAAACAATGAGTACTGTATTGAATAGAAATAATTTCTTTGAAACCTATCCGTGCGTTGTTATCAAACTTTTGAAATGACGCTCCCTCGCAGCCATAGGTTTTCTTGCAGAAGCGAAACAAAAAGGACAGTGGGTCGTAGCTAATTTTAAAAAGGAAATCGAGCTCGGTTTGCTTCGCGGTGTGAATATGAAATGAATGCTCGGGGTGGGCGCCGATGCGTTACGCAGCTACATTGCGAAGGCACTTTTTTATAGGTTGCTTTTCGCTACAGTGAATTCCGGATATATCTCAATATTTCCCTGTCAAAAAATTTAAATGGCAAAAAGTTTCCAAGTTTTAAAGCTTCAGTATTTTGTTAATGCAGGATAAACCTGACAAAGCTATATCGGAATGGCGGACTGTGTTTCTTATGGGGGCAACTGTACATTTTATCGGCATCACCATATATGGTTTCTTTGCTTCCGGAGAATTGCAACCTTGGGCTGAACCAGCGCCCGCTTACGAAGCTCCTCTAAAGCCTTTAGATCAGGAGACTACCTTTGTGAGTATAACTTAGGTTTATACACGTAAATTCAAATATCAAATTAATTACAATACTTCATTATAACTTATTATATAATTAATAAGGTATCTTAATATTACGTACCATCCATAATTTTTTGATTATAATATCAGTATCTAAATCAAAAACTGAAAACGAAGTATCGACAAAGACGGGAATTATATTTTTTAGACGGAGAACACATCAGCTCTTAAAGGTTCAGAGCCGCCTGCTTATGGAGCGATTGCACCACCTCGTCCTCCTGCGCCCCAGGCCCATGTTCCCAACAATCCTTTCGTTTCTGGAGCACTGTACCAGGCCGAGCCAATCCAGCCTCCCGCACAAGATTACCAGGATCTCACCGACGACGGCACCTATTAACCTAACTATTATATTGCTAGTCGGTGAGCTCTCACACTATAGCTAGTAAATTGTAATTTCCAATAAATTTCTATTGTTTCCTGTTGCAAATTCTATACGTTCGTTGATATTTTGCTTGTTTTTATATTCGTGATATTTTATTTGCTCAATTTTGTACAGATGTATATACTTACATTGGCATATCAGAGTTGTTTATAGTTTTCGTTTCGTAGGCTACTCACTATATGAAAGATCGTTTGTCCGTATGCTGTCGTGATTAGGTTTGTTGTAGCTTCAAAATTTTTGAATGTATAATTAAATTTAGATGTTATTGGCATACGGCTGAGTGAGTTCTTCGCAGTTTGTGACACTGTCTAGATCGCATTACGCCCCGTTACTATCTCTTGTTGTTGTAAAATGTTTAAATATATTTAATAAATAATAATTTAATAATTCTAGGATTGTACTTCAATTGTAATTGAAATCATAACTATATGTATAATAGGTGTAGGAATTTAAATAAAATGTTACTTACTTAAGGGAAGGTATATGCTAACTATCAAAGCTTCTATCCTTACTCAGGATTAACAAATTTTTATCTATTTGGGATTCAATAATTGAAATATTTCGATTTTATATACGTTATACATATATATATTTGAGACAATCTGTTTATACTGGCCGGCTTAAACATATACCTATAACTATTTGAAACTACCTGTACTCTCTCTGTATTTTCAAGAGGTAAACCATTGGTAGGTTATCTCATCAATATTATTCGAAAGCTGAAAATTATGAATTAATTTATATAAAAGCAATTGAATTGAAAGATTTTATTATTAACATATATTTTTCATTTAGTAACCTATGTATCATATTTATTATTATTTTTATTTATTCGTAACGGAAAATGGTCGTGACTCTACAAATCATCTAGTCATTTGTTATTTAGTTTATAGAAAATTTTGTTCAAAATTTTTTACATCAAATGTAATTTAAATTATTGTATCGATTAATTTACATTTTGTGAATTACTTAGTATTATAATTTTTATCATAATTTTATACTTAAATAAAATGTATCATTACTAAGTAAAGGTGCAATGTACTCTTACTATATGCTTTTATTAAAAGTTATATAATAAAATTATTTTTATTTAAATGACAATAAATATAAATAAAGGTATATCCTATGTAAATAATCAGATTTGATGACGTAGTTATTCCACATAGAATCATAATAATTATTGTATAAATTGAATAAATATTTTATAACAATTTAGAAGACAGGTATTTAAATTAGCGTCTATTTGTAGTTCGAATAACAAAATCATTTATTATTTAATATAATAGGTAATGAATTTCTCAATATATAGGAAAACAGTGCAGTCAAAAGTAATTTATAAACGAGGATTCTAAAGTCATTGTTATTCTTCATATATAAAAGAAACTCGATAAAATTTCATAATATATTTTTTTTAGACAGAAATATAGCTGTGTTTTGTACTGGCTACATATAATAGATTATCACTTTATTTTCAACTAATACATAGCTAATTTTTCTTATAACCTGTGATCTTTTTTTAACTGTAGCAACTCTTTCATTAAAAATCATATGTGGTATAGTCTGTGACAAATAGGAAGTAACTTGGACATGTGAGAATTATCATTAAAATGTTCTTGTATATAGAAGTAGAACTGTTTACAGATTAAGGCGATCTCTGTTATATATTGTTTTGCGTTCCCCACATCCATTAAAAATCATATTTGTAGAGTAACTGTTTTAGACGTTTGTTTAAAGTGGCTAGATCTTTAGAATTTTAATATAATGATTATAATATTGTTTGAATGAATCTCTACGCCGTCAATTCTCTGTTGTAAAGAACTATTTAAATTAACCTTCATTAAAAATTTTATGAGATATGTATGTATCATAACACCGATGTCATTGTTTTTGTTTTTTATATATTTTCATTTTCATAATAAAAATTTTACTATATTGTTAAATATAAATAGGTTAAATACGACGTAAATAACATTGCTTATTAAACGTTTAGATGGAAAATGATTTTCGGAAATTGGATTAGCCTTATCTAATTCTTATATTTTTTTGTTACCGTCAGAGTAGGTTTTTTTCTAGAGCCGGGGTTTGTGCATGGTAGTTTATATAATAAGGCCAGTATTATCGTTTTAGAGTGAATTTTCCTTTGATAATTTTCACTATGTCCAAAACTATGGCGAAAAGGGTAATGATCCCCCTCGCACTTGTTGGACGTGCACTGTATTGGCTATGTAAGTGTAAATAAAATAAAGATCTAAAAAAAAAAATTAATGCTTTTTCGTAAAAAAATATGACAAAAATAAAAAAAAAATATTTGGGTTTTACCGTTTTGTATTACTTACAATAATTTCATAATTTTCATTGAGAATTCTGTTTCTTTATTACAAAAAAGAATTAAATTAATTTTCAATAATAACTAAGTTTTATAATAATTATATATAGTGTTTTTTATATTTATGTTACAAATATTTTAGTTTTATTTAGTTAATTTTTTTTTATATTTGCTATCATATAATATAAAATAGGTTAAACAAAAAATAGAAGTAAGTGAAATAATAATTTTAAGACAATAATTTATTTAATATGGGGTGATCGCACTCTATAAGGCTGTGTCGACAATAAAGCTTTTTAAAGCGACCGTAGTTTGTAAATTTATAGTTATAATATATTAGACAATACGAATTATTTCATATGATTTCATGTTCCATATACTTTTATCTATATGAACTTTCATTTGATAGTAATTTATCAAAATAACATTTAAATCATCTTATTATTTTCCATATTATTCATTAAAATAGCAATAACAGAACAATAAAATTTACATTCAATGTAAATATTTAGACAATAAGATATGTAATGTATAATATATAATATATAAGTTATTATAATTAAGTAATCTTTCAAGAACTGAGTGGTCAATTACTGATTAGAATCGAGTTTAGGGATGGCCCATGCTGTCCCTACAACAAGACGCTGTATATAATTGTTTGCTTTTTCCTTAATTGTATACTCATTGTAAAACGCTTTCTCATTCTGTACTCACAGATTTCAAGACTTTAAAATAATTTGAAAGTTATTATTATATAATAAATTGTTTTTGTTATCCAAATAATTAGATAACTTTAGTTTCAGCAACGATATGAGTTTTAAAAACACTCGGTTTTTAATTATATATATGTTTTTTATAATTACGTTTTTTATAATATAAATAATAAATTTGTTTGCTGTAGATTAATAATTGTACATTAAGCATTAAATTGGTACATATATAGAAAATATTAAATTTATTCTAACATAATCTTTACTTGGGAGAATATATTGTTTATATATATGTTTATTTATCGTTGCCACAGCAACCGCGGCAAGTTCCAAACAGGCCTACTTACATTAAGAATGTGTTGGATTTCCACTTCTAGATTTTTAGTACTTCATCTATACAAAGACATTTTACTTTTTTGTTTCGATCAGTAGAAATAAGATTTAATTAAGTCCATAAATAGTTCAAATTACGGGTTAAAATTAAGATCGGTTGAAAGTAAATACTAATATTATATAATAAATCATTTAAGCCATATATATGTACATTGTGAATGAAATATTTTTCTTAATATAAATTGTTTGCTTTTCTTTTTTATACGTACTATATAATTGTAATGTTTTCTTTAATTATTTTGAAGTTATGGAGTCAAGTAATTAAGATTTGTGATTCACGACCATTTTCCGTAACCAATTGAAAGAATTAAAAGCATTTCGTATCAATCCTATTTTTAACTGATTGTCAACAATTTTCATAGAAAAAATCCACTTGTTACTGTTAAATATAATTAACTTTATATATTTGTTATAAAATGAATGTTTCCCTTAATACCTTCCCTAATACATGTTTAAAAATTTATATTGTTTTATTTTTATCGCTATAACCAAAATATTTAACACCAACGCTGTCTTCTTCAGTGGTAGATGAGTTGAAAATATTTTAATTCTAAAATAAAAAAATATAATCACTTACAATATATTTTGATGTCAGGCAGGCAGCCGGTCGTAAAAACAATTAGCCAAAACTATTTACATGTAAGGCAGACCCTGGCTAAAGCTGGGAATATGCCAGGAAGAAAAAGAAGAAGAATCACTTACAATAGATTTATTTTCTAGGTAAATTAATAAATAAATCACACCATGTTACTATGCTAACTTATTTTTAAACGAAATGGCAATTTATTATTGAGTGACATTTATTGAGCAATATAAGAGCTAACTATTTTAGAGATCCTTAAGTAAATTTAAATATAATAAAATATTTATTTAATAATCTCTACTAAGAATTATTTTTCCATTGCACAATAATTTTAATAAATACGTTTATCGTGTTGTTAGCAAATAACGTCACGAGTTTAGACTTTTTTTTAAAGCAATAAAATTTAATATAATTTTTATAATGAGAATTATAATATGTATATATATCACGTGTTAAACATTCATATAAGCATTATTTCAATAAAATATGAGGTAGGACCTAGTCTATTTTTATTTTTATATACATTTAAAAATCTATTTACTTCGATTTGTGACAAAATCTAGTATTATTATATTGATTGTTTATTTAATTTATTATTAACTAAGAAAGTTTTTACCATATTTTTTTTGTAATCTTATTTTGAAAGAATTGACTGTAATCAATAGGATGTTATTATTACTCAGAATTGTGTTATGGAACGTAGTTATTATTAAATATTTCTTTTAAATCAACTATAAGGTGAGATGGATCTCAATTTCCTGTTCTTTCCAGGGAAACCTCTAGCGTAAGGAGGGTTAGCGTTTGTGGTCACATAGTAAACTCCTCGAGCTCTGAAAGAAATCGAAAAGATATTATAATCAAATAAATATTAGCTTTAGCCTTAAGTATCAGTCGGTCTAAATTTACTTTAAGGGCGTTTGGACAATGTTATAAAAAGCACTTGAAGATAATAATATATTATTGTAATAATAAAAGATATTATGTAATAAGGAGAGTGATTAGAACTATTGCTAATTATAATAAAATAACTTAATGATTTGGACAAAATTTTAAACATAATTATCATAGTATCATAATTTTAGACATAATTTTCAGATATCTGTTAGAGAGGAAACTTCTCAGCATTCCATGGATTCACAGTGAAGGTGCTGGGTCTGGTTAAATGACGGATGCGACGTGAAAATAACTTGAGCATGTCATTAATTACTATAAAAACTCATAAGTATTCAAAATTATTGTTAAAAGTAAAACGAAATCAAAGACTGTTTAAAAAGAGAATAGAACTACGTTTGAATCTTGGTATAAATATGACGTCTGGACGCAAGAGAGTTCAGTTAGTGCGGACCATTGAATGATATGATTATGAAGAACCTTCGGGAAATACAGGAACATTAAAAACAATTGAAGTTTCATTTTAAAATATCATGGAACGTACTGAAAGAAGTGACAAAAGTGACGTCGGCGATGATGGCGTCACTCTCTTTAAAAACAATGAATTTGTAATAAATTCGATATGTATTTTTACTTTCTTGCAATTAGAATATTTAGAACTTACTTATGTGTGACATGTTCACCCATGAGAACATATTCAGTGTCTTTTGGCTCACACCATCCAATCAGATACGAAAATAAGTTCGGACAAGGCCCAGCCCAAAAACCAACCGGACTAGTAATCGATTCTATGAAGTATGGCGTTACTTTCGTGTGATCACAGGACAAAGTTTCTGAAAGTATTTTGTTTTACTTTTAATGATACAATTATTATCTCAATTGGAAATATTACCAGCGACATCTTTCGAGCTTTAGAATTTAGTGAAAGCGCCATCTTGCGACAAAGTGGAACTTCATCATCAGAACCAATTGGACTTTACTCCATAAAAATAAAGGAGGCGCTTTTTATACTCTCAGCAAGTATAGAAACAATTTTAGCAGTTAGATAGTTTAGAGTATTTTTTTTATTTCAATAATTCAGTTATTGTCTTAATAAAATTTTTACCAATGACATCTTAAAGCTTTAATTTTTTTTAAAGCGCCATCTTACGATTAAGCGGATCTTGAGTAGGAGTAATTTGAATTTTGTCCATAAAATGTCAAGATGGCGCTTTGTATAATCTTAACAAGAATTCAATCAATTTTAACAGTCAGGTAGTTCTAATTTTAATATGAAGCAATAGATGCCGTTGAATTTTAAAATGACTCACGAAAAATAGTGTCATGGGCGCATCCTGGTTGACTTGAACCTCCATTGACGTAAAAATCTGCATGACCATTTGGGCCCCACTGACCGAGTATACCTGCTCCTGTGTGTAATATATCTACGAAATGGGCATCCGTGTAGTCAAGGTCACGGGACCTATTGTTTCCCATGTAGAAGAAAATGGTTGGATCAAGACCTGGAAAATAGGAATTTATATTCGCACCACTAAACATTTATTATACTTTACTTATAATTTTACAAAACAGGAAGAATAATCGGCAATATAATGCATATTATTTTAATTGCATAAACATTTCCATAATGTGATAGCATCCTTACATAAACACCATTACCTTTAAATACTCTCTTACTTATAATAATAGAAAGATAATAATTTCGCTGCGTTGCAGTTACGTTAGATAACAAGTGAGAGTTGACAATTCTTGGCCATTCTTTTGACGACATATTTATATATCTCATTAACTTATCCTTCACACATATTTTGTGATTTTTTTTTTTTAATAAATAACATCAGACGACCGAGACTCTCATTAACACTATTACATATAAATATTTTTCGTCGAGAAATCTTTATTATTCAAAAAAATCAAAACTCCGCTTTTCGTTTTCACCTTGTCCCCATTTTAAAACATATGTCGTATTTGGAAGATATTATTATCATACCTTTTTGGTTTTTGCACTAACTTTTTTTTTCGTTATTATAAATAAACTGTTACACATATAATTAGCGGTCTTGTTTTGAACTATAATTTCTGCAAATAGCAATGTTTATTTCACCATCAAGATTGTATAGTAATGTAAGCCCATTTAGAAATATATTACGAAACCTTCTATAAGTACTATATTCTTAATTATAGATCGTAAACTATCTATTGCAAAATACATCAGGCAATGTTTTCGTCATGCTTATTAAGTTTTAGAAAGAATATTATGTGATGGAAAACTGAAAGGATATTCAATTTCAACAAGGTTTAAAAAAAAGTTATTGAATAATTCTTTTTCTACTTACGATTAACTTTTAATCTTAAAAGTGGTGTTTGTTTGTCTTACTTCGTTACGCTTCACAAATATTAAAAATAATAATGTTCTTCCTCTCCGTAAAACTAATTATTCCTGAATAAACCACATTTAGTCTAGAATATAGTCTAGGAAGTCATACCAGTAATTCTGCCGAGTTTCCCTTCGGATAAATGGTTGGCAACAAGGCCGAGGATATGAGCTCCAACGCTGTAGCCGATCGTGTGTATCTTTTCTGGAGGCACAGCTTTCTTTGGGTGATACTGAAGATACTCCACTAACTGACTAATACACATGGCTGCAAACCGAGGGGCCCATTCTATCTGAAAGCATGATAATATTTGGATATTGGGACTTCACGAAGCTAACAGTTTTATTGGTCATTATAAAAGAACTTTTTGCAGACAAGGGATATTGATACGCTTTCATAAACTACTAATGTTAAATCATATATGACTATAAAATATATATTAATTTCTATTAAAACGGTGTTTTTAGGTTGTAAATATTTATGATATATATTCATAATAAATTGAAACCTTGAATATTTATTATGTAAATTTATTATTATGTATCATAAAAAATATCGTTCTGTCTATAAATTACCCGACCTACTTAGACAACCGCAAAAAAAATTAAAGTCGACCTTTATATATAATTGCTTCCCGTATAAAAAAAGGCTTTAATATGTGATTTAACCTGACTGAGACAAGGTTCCTTCACGAGGGATCCATAATCCACTATTATTATGTTATAGTTTCCTCTTGCAAAGTAAGCATTCCTCATATCCGTACTGGGTGACAGATTTCTACCGCCTCCAAATCCATGGACCACCACCTTGGTTGGGTGTTTTGTATTGAATCTCGAGCGTGTTAAAGAGTCATTGTCGAGTGTGTTTAATAATTCTCCCTTCTCTTGAGTCGTTCTAGAAAAAATATTGACCTTCAATGGAATATGCATATATGTTAATTAAATTTACTGCTCACAGTCACAATAAAAAAAAAAGAAAACATTATAATAATTGGACAGCATTGAAATAAATTTAGGGTAAACCGCTAAAAAGTTTCGTTTTTTTTTTATGTGATCATGGAACTACATTTAAAAATGTAGATGATCAGAATTATGGAGTAAGTAAAATTTTGGTGAATTACCTTGTATATAAATAATATTGCATTTTAGGATGTGGACATCTGTATGGGGCTGGTATGCAGGAACCCGTCTTCAATAGATCTCTTACAGATTGAGGTTTCTTTCGTTGCTCATCCTTTACTAAATTTTGTTCTTGCGTGTTGAACGCTGTAAATATTCAAGCTTAGTTAGGCAGACCAAATATTTAAAAAATTATAGTATAATTAATTCTTAATTAAGACGTATTCATTTATGTATTATGTAAAAGCCTTTATAGTTATATAGTTGACAAAAAAAAAATTAACAATAAATTTATTGTTGACAAAAAAATGTTAACAATCAATGGAAACTGGGACTAAATTTCTTGAGAACCTATGAACGATACTGTTCTGTCAAATATGAATGTCATAATAAGACGTATTATTAAAAAACTGTTAAAGAATTTGTTGGAATTGATGTGTAATTTTTTTTTTGTAGTCGATGTATTGTATTGTATTGTAAAGCCATGGATAGTTAGATGTACAGGAACTTTAAAATCAAAAGTTGAGTTACAGATAAATTTATTACTTTGATTGATTGATACTAAATATTTGGACATCTTTATCGTAATTTTGTAATTTTTAAGGCAATCTGTTCAGAGATTAAAATTCACAACTTCTGTTTAATGTTAATTAAGACAGTTATAAAAATGCAAATCCACGACATCATATACATTTGTAGTTATATTAATAAGATAATTTTTTATCATGTAAAACGGTAAAATGGTAAGTGCATTGTATATTTCTATGATAAAAAATTTTTATCTATGAAATTTTAGTGGATTTTATGATTTGGATACATTTCCAATGGATATATTCCACAGATATTTCATATTGCACGCATTGCATTTAAAAGGAAAAAACATATGTATTTAAGTAATCACATTCTTTTGTTATAATTGAGGTTCTCTGACCGTAAAATAAAAAGTTGTTGATTCATACACAATCGCAAAAAATAATCTGTTTTACTAACATAATTTCTTAAACATTATGTCCTTATTTTAATAATTTATATATGAGAGCATGTGTAGGAGTTTTTAGAAATATAATGAATACGTATTAGATAATAATCTTTACTAGGTGATGATAAATAAGTTATATATTATAAGAACTTACATATAAATAAGTGTAAGTAGAACCCATACGTGGTACTTAAACATGTTTTTAAAGTGTCAATCATGTATACCAAAGCAGAAAAAATTTAAACCATAAAAAATACATGTAAAGCTATTTCACTAAACGTAAATTATACAAATAATACCAGTTCTAAATAACTTTGCAATCGAGTACAGGTTGTAAAGAACGGCCTCGTATTGCTTAACATTGGCCATCAAGGTGACTGCATGCCTAGATATTAATATAAGACACCATGTTTCGTAATAAATTAATAATAATTAAAACTATTACATACGGAAGTATCGTTATATTAACAAAAAATATTACAAACGTGTAATGTTTTTTATATTCCAATACGGATAGATTGGAAAAAATATGACTTGGATTTTTATACAAAAAAACCTGACATTTCCAACGTAATCGAATTACCAAGGATTTCAAGACTTATTTTGATATGGCTATTTTTTGCATTGATATAAAATACTTTCAAGGAAATATGTCTCAGACATATTAACATATATATGTATGTCTGTCTAAAGGGAAAATAATTATGAATTTTTCGTTATAAATATAATGCAATTAAAATAAGCAATCTGAACTCTGCCTTTTTATGTTTAAAATGACAACTAATAAACATATACCTAACATAAAGTAACGAAACGTAATTTCGTGAATATATTATACAGGCTGATTATTTCTGGAAAGTACTGGATAGCATGATGTAAGAAAAACGTTGAAGCGTTGCCACAGGTCCTTACGGCATCTGCATTAAATTTTGTGTAATATGCGTGCATTCATTAATTTTACATAATCTTATACATCGTTTTGATTATACATATTTTATTGGTATCCAAGGTTATGTAATCAGTATCTATGCAGTTAAATTCCGATGTATATTTCCAAGTCTAATTAATGTGGGAATTTGGTATTTTGATTATTTTGTATAATTCTAATAGGACAACAAACGAGCAGGTGTATTTGTGCCATCATATTGTCACTTAAAGGACTATAGGGATATGACAAGGAATTATACTTTTGGACGGAAAAGAGAAAGATGAAATGGAAACGTTTCCGACTCTCTCAATAACATGAAACTCATTTATACCTTTTATGATAGCAATAACGTAACATTAGCATAAACATGAATTGTTATGTTAGGAAGTTCATCACAAATTTAATATCGAGGCAATATTATATAAGTCTCTGTCATATTACTAATTGTATTTAAAATTTTGAGAAATGTATTATGAAAACTTATCAACCTTTTTTCGTTTTTGTTACATGTTATTTCTGTTCTCATACCAGTTTATTTAATCAGAATTGTAATTTATATTCTTATTACTTAATCATGTCATCATAACAATAAAAACATGATGACAAGATTAACGAAAAACAACGTACATACAACAGGGGCTCAGTTTCTCACACCCATCCAGCCTAACTTGAACTTCACAGATGTTTTATTTCTTTTATACAAAGTATCTTTTATTCTTGGGTGTAAAATGATATGATGGACTATGACAATACTTTCACTACAGATTCACTTTCAACCTAGATCCAAACACTAGTAGTTATATGTAACATATTTGATAAATAATATATATATTTTTACAAAACCCTAAAAAATATTTAAATAAGACTTACCTGGACTATTTATTGTAATTGTATGTTTCGACCAGTCGCGAGTAATTAATTAGGACATTAAGTTATACATTCCAAATTAATTTTGAACTGGTTTGGAATCAATGGTTGAGTAGGTTTAGAATAGCAATATTGTCACGTGTTAAGGCGATTAATAATTTATATAATGAGTTAAATATTAGCAGCCAGTTTCATTGTCAAACGATTAGTCATACAGAGAAAGAATCTTGCAACTTGGCCATACATTGCAACGCATATAAAGTGTACATAATGTCATTTGTAATTAGTATTCTAAAGTTTGACAGTTACAATATTAAACGTGACTATTGTGATGTAGCATCATGGAGTTTTTGTTGATATTAAAATAATATGGAAATCAATGGACAGTAATTGCTTAATAATAAACAATAGGTGGAGTGTAATTTCAACAATAGATGCAGGAGTTTTATTAATTTCAATGAAAATCTCCGTGGGATAATGACTTTATTAACCACATAGTTATTTATACCTACAAAAATATACAATATTTTTTCTTAAGTTATATATATTTATACGGAATATATTATTTTATAAACAAACAATTTACATTTGTGTCTTTAAGAGATTTTTCATTTTTTTTAATGACAAATTTAAAACACGTAAATAATATTATTTTAATCTATGGGTTAAAAAATATTAATGTTCTGCGTTTTTTAAAAATGTATTCAGCAAACTAATATAAACGTCCTTTAAAGAGACATTATTTGTGATTTAAAATGAAATGTGCAAAAATATTATTTTCACCGCATTTAAATAAAACAATTCTTTTTTATAATTTTTCATAAGCATTGTATTTATTATGTTTATGTACGAAATTTCCTTAACATAATAACGAAGATCTAATTAATAATTTAACGGTATTTCAATTTAAAAAAATCACAGGGATTATATAAAATATATTTGTTTTCACATGTAGAATATTTTGTCATTATAAATATTTGTATATAACATATGACTAAAAGACGTTAAGGAAAAACCAAAGATACACTGAGAGAGTAAATGTTACGCAACGAAATGTCGGCCGAGGTTTTGTAACGTAACCCACTCGGAAGTAGCGCATTGTGCGCGCGCGCATACTGACACGCTTGGCCAACTTGACTTTTAATTATTTATTTTTTTTACTAATATATTAAGGATAATCACAATAACATGTATGCATGTAACAAATGTATTTTTTTATTATTAGCATAAAAATATTGCAAATATATATTTTACTTTCTATCATGGAATAATAATTTTGTTGGAAATAATACGTTATATTTTTTTTATATTTAATAATTTTCTATAAATATTTTTTTTTGTTATTAATAAATTGTGATAATTTACCAGAAAACTGTAGAGCTGTAATTCCAATAACCAAGAGCCACTGCGTATTTGTCACCATTTTTTTTAAATATAAATCACAATTTAATAAAAGTAAACAAATATTTTTAATTTATGTCAAACTATATTATATTATTTTTATTATATTTAATATAAATCATATTAAAAATATAATTATGATCGTAATATTTTTCCGCACGTGAGTTTTCTTGAATACGGAACACTAACACGTCTGTGAACAACGCTAACGGCTAGGCTACTGACAGCGAAAGTGGATTTAAGAACAACATTTCGGTTTACAAAACAATGTATATGACGAATTCGACATCCAGTATAATAAATTACCGCAATTTATGTAATGACTGTTTATTTAAACAAAATTTTAGGATTTGTTTTATTTTTATTTGGGAATCAATTAAAATTATTACAGTCACTTTATCAATATATTAAGTAACTTCGGTATAACAGACAGTAAAAGTTGATTATGTCATACAGTTTGCACGATTTTTTCGAGATGCTTCCAAATTGTATTACTACTAAACTCTTAGATACTTGCTTTAGAATACTAAGTACAATTTAGTCAGGAAGCGTTCAAGACAAACACATCTAATAAGAATTTCATTGCCGAAGCTTCTGGAGGAGTAGTAAAGTCATAATAAAATTTAATTACTTATGTTTTATAATAATATATATGAACTGTACAGAGAACAGTAAAATTTCATAGCTTCCACTCAAATGGCTATTATGACGTCAGTTTTTTTTAAATATAAAGATATGTTAAAAATTACAATAAAAATACCACAGCTGGGTTTGATAATTTATTAAAAAAATCAAATTAATTATAATTCAGATGCAATTCTATTGAATATTTATTATCTCAGGGTAAGGTTATATAAAGACACTAATACTGTGTTTCGAAATATTAAAGAAATCGTTTAGTTCGGATACTGAATTTTCATTTATACTTTGAATATAATTTTAAAACCTATTCCACTATTTAAGGAGTGATTTAATATACAAGAATGAATTCATTTCAACCAGGGCCTTGCCACAACTCTTCACATGCAGTGAATTTTTACACCACTAACCCTAATCTGAAATCCAGTCGACAAAATATTTCATTCAAATCGTTCCCGGATCAGCTTGAAGGGAACAAACACAGCTTATCTAAGCGTGAGATCGTTTAAACAGCTTGTTTGCTACTTGTTGTGCTATAAAAGTTCAACTTCTAAATTGTTATTGTTAAATATATTTCTGTTGTTTCAAAACATATTTAACAGGTTTGTAATTGTAACAGTTACGGTTACTTGAGACCTGCTTTATACATAATAGGTAGTAATACATTACGTAATAATTTTTGTTTACATTAGAGTAATAAAACAAAAATTAAAACGTTTCATGTGTGTTAAATACAAGACAAAATATATATTTTTGTTGTTATGTTCTGTACGTCTATCGTTTAATTTTATTGCTTCCCAATAACATTCGATCTTTAAAGAAGTGTAGTTTTCAAAAACTGACGAAGCAAAATGTGTATTTTAAAGAACATATCATTTTAAAATCAATTAAACAACATTCTTCTATTTCGCAATAAAACCATGACAAGCACATGGACCCTGAACTATGGATATGATAATCGTTGGTTAATACAACCCGTTGCAAAATGTATCTCATTAAAAATTGTTAAGTTAGCACCGCGTTACAAATGGTTCCGTATAAATTTATTTTTCGTGCACTTTTTAGTTTGTTTCTTTTTTTAACAATAGCGAATATTACAAAAATCAAAATCTTCTTACAAGACTTTTTCGTAATTTTTTTGAACATATATGTAATACTATGAATTTAAAGTTTTTTCATTTTCTTGCTGATCACTAAAATTAGAGGAGTGGAATAAATTATGTTTTAGACTTTAGCGGAAGGTTAAAACTATTTCAATAGCGGTTTTTTCTTATAGAACCTTAAGACTTATGAAAAACGGTTGGGTTATTTGATGGGATCTTTCGTAATCGTAAATTGAGGATGGCCATAAGGAAATTAACTATGTATTGTTGTGGTTGACTGCGTCTCTAAAAATGTTGGATAGCTAATATACGTAGTACATACGATGGCTTAATATTGTGAAAATATTTTTTTGATGTTTATGATATTTAGTATATAATTTTATATCTCTTCAGAAGCATAAGGACATGGGATAGAATAGAATGAAACATAATTCACTGTTCTCCGCTCAATCTAAATAAAGTACAGAATATCACATAAGATAGAAGAGTGTGTTGAGTTGTAGTGAAACATAAATATTACAAATACACATTATCCATAATAATTCTTCCGTACGTATTACTCCCTTATTTGAACTATAATGTCTATGGTTTACGAAAGATGTTTTAAATAGTGTAAACTTATAGGACATCTACAGACTAATGTTAGACAGATTTTCTTTGATCTAACACTTTCTCAAACTACAAAAGACCACCTATAAGACTACCAACAGCAAACATTGACAAATCAGAGCAGACCTTTATTTTCTAATCATCTGCCAGCGACTAAAGCTATAGAACCAGTCAGTAACAGCAGGAGATATGTTGAGGAAATTTAAAGTAGCAAGCAAGGTACCAAAATTAACTGTATTAAACGTAATACTATAGTCAACAATAATACAAAAGAGACTATAAAAATAAGAAATGATGATTAAATGCTTTATCTTAGCGGGAATCATTTCGTCACTCCCTTTCAAATTGACATGACAGATGATGAAATGTTACCCTTTTCGAAGATTGTTGACTTGTTGAAGTAAATGATAAAATCAGGAAGTATATTGTGTTAAAAAAAAATTTTAGTGTCCATTGTACATACCTACCAAAATTATAAACATTTTTGTATTTGAAGTTGTTCTTATTCTTATTCTGCAGAAGTGAAACGAATTAAGAAAAGAAAAGAGGTGTAAACTGTTTTAGGTGTAATGATGCTCCAGAAGTTATTAAAAATAATAAAATAGTAAAGGAAAGTTAAACTTGTGTCAAAATTAAATATAGTTAAGACTCACTCTTTCACTAATCAAAATAAAATATGGCAAAAATATTTGTTTGGCTCTATTGTTCTCCTAGAGGATGTGTAGCTCTGAATAGTAAGGCTTTGGCCTTTCATGATACCAATCAAAAATGTTGTAATAATCAAAATTTATCATAATTTATTTCAACCAAACCCAATATTTCTAAGTAACTTAATTGAAATTATATGAGTTTCACAATAGTTTATATTTTTACTCAATGAGGATAAGACTATACGATATTATTTATCCCCATTCATTACTGACCTATAACAACCTATATTTATTATGACGCCTTTACCGAAGTGTTAACGACTTTTAAAACTTTAGGCGTGTGTGAATACCACGTTCCCAGCTTGATTTTACTAAATTTTCTGAAAGATTAGGATAATATCACTCATTTATTATAAGTAATATAATGCAAGTGAAAAAAATAAACTTGTACTAAACCTATCAACTCTCAAATTAAGGTATCTGTGTAGCCGGGATCCTGTGATGTCACACGATCTGATCTATCTATAGTATATTTGCTAACCAATCGCTTTTTAAGTTCAAAAATGTACATGAAATTCTGTGTTAATAGCATATTGTTTCGAATTTCGTTTCTTTTTTTATTAATACAGCCTCGGAGTGCACCGATATGATTTTCGTATATGAAGAATGTTAGGAAATGCATAGGTAATTAATGAATCGTATAATAAAGTTGTTATAAAAAACTTTTTTTATTTTGATATTAGTACTGATTTGATGGGATTAAAATACTTTCAAGTGACTTAATGTAATTTATTTATTTACTTTATTAATATTAAACATTCTTATAAGTATTGTCATATTATTGGTCAACATCGTATGTCATATAGTTTAAATATAGATCGCTTCCAAGATTTAATAATAAAAAAAATAATGTTAACAAGTTGGAATCAACGCGGAAGAAATTTTTGACGTCACAAAATAAAATTAAAAAATACTCTCTCCAGTAATTTTTTTCCTAGTAACCGTTATATACAATAAACAGGAAATATCGCATTGTCTTGAAGGTATTAAAATACAGATTAATTTAATTATGTAACTTAAGCTTTTTAAAATACTATATTTGTCCATTTTCTACAATTGAAGTATAGTAAACGCAATAAAGCTGTAGGCAATTAACCAAAATACTCACATCGCATACTAAAAATATTTAAATAAACATGTATTCTAACAATAAAAAAGAAGTTATGAAAGTAATCTTGTTGTTTTTGCTACTCATAATGTAAACAATATTTTTTCCATCATTCATAAGTAGTTTACAAGTTGTTTCTTTACTTACATAAATTATTAATAAAACGACTAGTTTTTGTTATTTTTTTTCTCTTGTTTTATATAAAAGTAACACTTTTTTTGGTTGTACAACTTATAAAGATGTCATAAAAATATACCTTATGTTATTCTTACTTTATAGACTTTTTCCTCTAGCAAACGGTGGTTGAGCGTTAGTACGAAAGAAGAAGATACCTGAGTTACTGAAATAAAAACGAAAGATTATAAACAAAAACGACGAAATTATCAAAAATGACTCCTAGTGTAAAATTACAGCAATAAAAAATATACATAATACATTAAACCGTACTTTCTTGATAAATATTCCCCGTAGATAACTTGTTCGTTCAATGAAATGATATCACACCATCCAAGCAAGTATGCTATGAGTGAGAAGCATTTCGTTGCATAGAAGCCTGTTTTGGTTATAATTGATTCTGCGAAGTACATTGGTGCGCGGGCGTGGTCACAGCCAGATTTTGCTGTAAAAAAAACTACTTAGAAGACAATACGCCAGCAACAAGATTTTAACAAAGGAACAAAAACTTGTGGTATTCAATTGTTTCCTTTAAGTAGAAATTGCTATTTACCTTACACAGGCATTACAATTATTTTTTTTATTCAAGTAAATGTAGTGAAGAGACACATAGGGTAATATTTTTTTGTTATCGCTTAAGCAACATAAAGTGATGTTTTATTGTCTTGAGGGTTAGAGAGTGTGAGTGGGATATCTATTAAATAAAAATGATTTTTATTTATATTTGAACTTACTTTGATTTTCTGTCCTCGTACAACCAGGTTGAGAGTAACCACTGTTAGCGAAAAAGTCTGCATGACCACAAGTTTCCAATTTCCCTTTACCTAAAGCGTTAGTATGTAGTACGTCTACAAAATCCGCATCACCGCTGTCAATTTTTTTTCTGTTATCCATCGTCGCAAACAAGGGCATAGCGGGATCCAAGGCTAAAAAGTTGTTTACACGGCCATTGTTATGATAAGTGAAACTCAAGCAAAACAATACAAATCGCTACGTTGAACTTTTTAGTGTATTCTTGTCTAATTTATGTTACCAGATATTCTCGATAATTTTCCCGCTTTGAGGTAATTTGCTATAAAACCGGCAATTTGTCCGCCAAGACTGAAGCCTATGATATGAAAATCAGTTAGTCTAAATCCATGCTTGGAGACCATCTCGTCAATTAACTGGGCAGTACACATTCCGACTAGTTCTGTATTCCTAGCAGCCTCCATGTAACAAGGTTCTAATGCTATTTTATTGTAATCAACGGTTATTATGTTGTAATTACAACACTCTAAGTATGCTGAAAATTGAGAAATTGAATATTAATTATCTATAATATATTTATATTTATGTGAATAGTTTTAACTTGTATAGACTGGAAGAATAAAATATGCTCCGTAACGTAAATTTAAAGATAAAATGGTATATTTTTAAAGAACTGTATAGAAAATGAATAATTTATGTTAGAATTATAAAAGTATTTTAGTGATCTTTTAAAAGTAATTAATGAGGTACATGGAACTTTTAAAATTCTTTGGAATATATTATACTTCACATCACTAAGGTATATTGATTTAGAAAAATATCACGTATAATGTGCATTTTTGTGAAATAAACCTGGTCTTATTTCCGTATTTGGTGAAAAATTTTTATGTCCTGTGTAGCCGTGTATTAGAATTTTAATTTGGGCGTCCTTCACCCACGGCGCTGTCTTTATCGATTCAGGTTCCATAGCTTTTAATTCCACGGGACTATTCCTGTTTTCTCTGATAAAATACAAAATATAATAACACACTTAACAGACTACTAATTTAAATTGAAACTCGTAAAACAATTTACGTCGTACGTACGTCGTTTAATTGTAAAATTTATTCAAAAAGACATTATCTAGTCGAAACTTTTAAGTATGAATCAAAGATTTACTAACCTTGTGTATAACCAAAAGGTAATATTATCGTTTGGACACTTCATTGGTGGTAACACGCAATTAGGACTGAAAAGTGTCAAAATTCCGGCTGAAATTAAATGTAAATTATTAATTTATTATTATATTACCTTAACAAAATTATATTTCTATTTTATGATTTAATTTTAACGATAAATATAGAAATGCTTTATTTTGAATCTTGTTACAAAAAAATGAAAACCACTGTATTTATTAAAATATACACAATTATTTACAGTTCTCTTCCAATTAACCAGAAACACAAATTTAATAAAGATTAGTAGGTATATGGATAAATAATAAAGGCTTGAATGTCTCTGCTAAGTTTCTTTGGGAATCTTGTTTGACCACCTTTTCTTTCAATCATAAAAATCACTCACTAAGCCTGAATTAAAAAAATCATTTACAAATAAAACCAAAAACTTACTTATATTCTTGATTATAAGGAGTATCACCGTGGATAGTCGCATATTTAGTATTTATTTTTTATGAAATACACAACGAACTCAAATAAAAACTATTGCTGTTAACTGAAAACTTGTTCAAAGGGAGCCAAGAAACGAAATGTATTTGATAAAAAATTTAGGCTCCGGCTTCATTGTGTCAACATATCGTGTTAGTACAGTATTAAGAAACTAATTTCTTGAAAAACATATCAGGAACATTTTGAAGGTTCGTTGTAGGATGTCAAGTTCCTACTTGTAGTGTAACTGCGTGGACTCACTTTGAATTTTTTTAAGTAAAAATATTCAAAGTATGTATGGTTGCATAAAAACTTTTTTTTACTAAAGTATAGCTTAACTGACGTTGAATTTAACATCAAACTTAACATGAAATAACATTTGTATTGGTAGACAAAGTTTTATTTTTTTCTTTTGTGAAATTACAATTATTATTTTTTTAATAAAATGTATACTCCATAGCATGTCTGTTTTAAAATATGTAAATGAGGGACATATTGTTAATGTAAAGGTACGATATTACCGCTGTAGTATAACTACTAATTGTTAACATTGTTGTAATAATTAGTCTTGACAGTTGCAGGCGATAACGCATTTTAACCTTTTTGGGGACAAAAGTGTCCCTTTTTATTATCTGAAAATGGATCTGTCCCTGACTTCTATGTAGGGGTTATTCTTAATATCAAAAGCAAGAGCAAAGAAATGAGACTAACAGGTTTGAAATGAAATATAAAAACAATATAAAATGATATAAACCAATTTTTATAAAACTTTAAACAAAAAACAAAGTTAGATTTTTTATAACATTTTAAGATTGTTTTAACAAGTTGTAAGTTTAGTTATTCTCAGATTCAAAAAAATATATGAAAATGTTAAAATTTTGCAAATTTATTTATTTCTTCATGATTATAAAATGTTTTGAATTTAGTTTTAAGCAATTAAAACTAGATACACAAGAAGACTCTAAAAAGATTATACACGACAAGAAAAATAGTCATTTAAGCAATATGATTTTCGTGTCAAATATTAGAATATACAGGTCTTAAAATTAATACGTTTTTATGCAAAATTGTAGAAGTTTAAACTTAAGAAATAATAAATGTCTTTAATGAAGAAGTTTTAACTGGATTTTAGATAAATAAATTCTGAGGTTCAATTGGATACTCAGGAGAATTTTGTTTTTTTAACGACCAAGTACGATTAAAGTTTATGAGTTTGGTTCCTTTGAATTAAATAATCAATTTTTTTATAAATTAAATGCAGAAAATAAGGAATAATACAAGTTCCAATAAGATTTTATGCAAATTACGTAAATTTGTGTACGTCTTTTTACCCAATTTTACATAAAATAGGGTGTAAAGATTAAATAAGCAACACGCGAACTTTAATAAAATTATTTCTATCTACTAACAAAAAAGGAGTATGATGATATGTATGATAAAAGGAGGCGAGATGATGATTTTATAAGTAAGTAAAGTAAGTAGGTAAATTAGCCACACTTTGTATGTATGACCCTACATGAAGTGAATCACTGACATGTAGGTAAATATCCTGAATGATGAATCATTGAAAGCAATATTTAGGCGACGGCAAAAATAAGCCAATTTAAGGGTATCACGCCTATGTAACTAAAGGTTGTATGTAGTAGGTATTTTATTGTGACTGACTTGCAAAGCATTGGACAAACGAAGAGAATCATTTACAATAAGTGTGCGTTCAGTTTAAAAAAGTAATTTACTGAAAAGTGATCAAAATGTTGGGAAAAGTATAAATATATTACTTAAACAGGCGATTTGAATCCAAAATTTATTATCATTTTAGTTATTACGACGGGATATTTCTATATATTATTTATACGTCCAGACAAACCCATCATAAGTTTTCATACTACATACATCCGTGAGAATTTATTTTATAAACCACAATTTTTTTTTGTTTTAAAAATATTATACCTGTTGTGTGGTATCAAAAATAAAGTATCATAAATTTAAGAGCTGCTCAGTAACTGAATGCACGTCTCAAATGAAATGTTGGCGGCTCCGGTTTCATTACATCATCCTAATCGGTTACACGTACTCAGAAATTAATTTCTCGAAAAACATTATCATACTTATTTTTAAGTATCGATGACATAATAGCGATAATTTTCTTTTGCTTGATCTTAACGGCAAGGGACTTACGAGTATCTTCTTTTCTTTGCTTTAAGACACTGCCTGATATTCATCTATCTTGATGAATTAAATTTTATTAACTCATACTTTATATACCTGCTTTTAGTGGTTGTGGAGAAAAAACTAATAGATCGTACAGATTTCTTTCAAAACAGCTATCAATTTTCAACGTAAAAAAAAAATTGGATCTAATATTTGACCCCAAATATGTTTGTAGTGTCAAATCAATATTTGTAGTTAAATAAATCACTAAAATTATAAATAAATGACTTAACCTTACGTCATATAGATGGAAAGTATTTATAATAAAAAATTAAAAGGAAAATTGAAAATAATATAAATATATATTTTTATAAGGAATACTCCATGGTTACTCTGTTTAAAATATGTAAGTGACGGAAATATTGTCAAGGTACGGGTACGATAATAACGCTATAGTATAATTTGAAACGTTAACATTGTTTTTATAATTAGTCTTGAGAGTTTCAACGATAAGAGAATTGCGACAATTGTGATGTACAAAACAAAGGTTGAGTTCGTTACATTTTGTATATATGTATAAACACTCGTTTTAGTGAGAAAGTGATTTTATTCCTTCATAAATAACTCTATTGTCTTGTTACTGTGTGAAATATTATTTTTCATAAAAATTTAAGGTTATCTCTCTATGTATTTAATTACTACTGATAACTATTTTAGTTATTTAAATGTTTTGGATCGAGGTTAATGTTTTAAGGATCATATGTTGTAGCAATTAATAGTGCTCAATTATAAATAATGGGTCTATAATTTAAAGATATGACAGAGGGTAGCCTCGGCCTGCAAGTTCTTTCGGTCACGGCAAATATACACATTGCGTTAATGTTATATTTTATTTAATTCAGTTTGTATAAAATCACGCAATAAATTTCTGGTAAAATCTGCCAAAACTCATAAAAATGTACCTATGTTTTATAAGTAATTAATGGTTAGAGACTAAAGGTTAAAAACAAAATAAACTAGTCTTGCCACTACCCATTTCTTTGAATTTGTTGAGTGTATCTTGTCATTACTCTGTTTCATGTTTGCTAATTTCAGAAAATTAATGTAATGAATGGCTTATGTGAACCCATGTAGACTTGCTATAATGAAGGTATGAATTTCGAACCTGATGCTAGACAAAGTGGCAGTCTTATTTAAGATCCGAACACAAATCAGGTTTTTTAAATTTATGCAATTGAAATACAAAATGTTTAAATTCAAGATTATAATGACAAGTATTCACAAAACAACAAGTTTATTGTTTTTTAGAATTTATTATTTTTTAAAGTCCCATGTTTCATTTAAATTTAAACAAATCTTATTGTAACAATCTATTAAACACTCATAATTATGAACTATAAGGAAGGTGACAAATAACAAACACAATATAATTTAATTCGGTTTATTATTCAAATAAGTAAAAAATCAGTCAGTTCGTTTGAAAAGAAGACGCATTTGGCACGTATTTCACTAATTAATATGGCTCATTACAAAACTGCATCATAGCACCTACAATTATATAAAGAGCTTCAATCAAATGTAAATTATAATATATACTTTGAAAAGTTTATAACTTTCATAATTTTAGATTTGAGAGACTTTACTGAATAACGAATATAAATGCAATAATCATGACAAATATTGTATCTTTTATTTTAATGTTATCTTCAACTCTTGTATTTATAAGTGCGTTACAACTTTTTGTACTTACAACTAACATTTCGTCTTATGTTATAATCTTAAAATTAAAGTTAATTAATTATCTACATTTAATAAATATTTACAATGAGGTTCAACGTATTAACTTAAGTCTTATCACTTTCAATTGAACAATATATGGCAAGAAAAATGAAACTACCTAGATCTTGATACAAGATCCAAACAATATTGTACAAAATAATTTTAATATATACAAATGCACATGATTACTCAGACATATTCTTCGGACGGTTTCGGAGTTCCGTTTGGCAGTCGTAATGAGGAAGACATTCGGCCATTTACTGAGTCAGGTAACTCAGCAATATCTTTAAAGACCCCAATCATACTTTCGAAGTTTAATAAATAATCCCACGATAAAGTTGCCGCTGCGGGAGATCCGTTAGCTTGTCTATAAAGGGCTGAACCGACATGAGGAACTAAATCGTCATCAGATGCCACTAAGGTACTCAGTGAACCTCGAAATGAAGAATCAAAACTTTCATAAGGAGGCGGTAAGATTGGCTTTTTGTTATTATTACCACTATTTACATTTGATCTTCTTATATCTTCTGGTTTTTCAGCGCTTATGCTGTTATTATCATATTCTATTTCTGAGCAAGTAAAACTATCATTACCACTTTCATCATCTGACCCTGTTGAACTTCTGTTATCGACGGGTGGAGAGTGCTGTCTGTGTGACATATGATGACCAACACCACCTCCACGAGGCGCTTCACTGGAACTAGAAACAGCATCGAGTGTAGATACAAGACTAGAAGTTCTTTGCCTTGCGTTCATTCTTTCTATTTCTTCGGCTGTTAGTCCCACAGCTCCCGTTCCTACGGATACAACCTGAGGAACTTGAGGAGTGGCACTAGGGGTTTTTCTTCCAGCTGATGAACTTTGTCCACTTAGCTGTGACATTACTGGACTATTTAAACTACGTTCACTATTACTATGTAAAGGATCTTTACCAACTCCGCCAGAACTTGATGTGGTTGCTAGTAAGGCACTTTGTAGTGGTTTTCCAGAAATATCATGTAATGTTAGAATTCTTGGTTGTTGACTTAATTCGCTACTGGGTGATAATCGTGCAAGTGGAGTTGTCTGATGCTGTCTAGTTTGAGGTGGGGGTTGGGAATTCTGTGATAACACTCTTGGCGGATATCCACTCGGATGATGTGGTGAATGCCTGTGCTGAGGAGTCTGGTGCTTATGATGGTAACTCGCAATAGGTGGAGGAGTTGCTTTGTATTTTCGGACACCAGCGGCTTCTCTAAAAGCCTTATAATGATAAGGAATATCTATATCTGATGGTGCAATCGAACTAGCATTTTCAAGATCATAGTGTTCAGGTACTTCAGAATTCATATCCATTCCGCTCGGATGATCATGAGTATGATGAGACGTATTAGTTGACAGAGGTGGTGGAGAATGGTGATCTTCTCTTAAAGCTGGACTTTTTCCAACCACTTCACGCTCTATTATATCAGGACGTTGGCTTCTTGGATGGTCTAAATTCATTATATCGCGATCTTTATATTTCTTTGACAATAATTCAGGGCCAACTATATGGCCAACATTGCGCATAATATCTGCATTTTCAGAAATGTAACTATTTAAACTAGTATCATTGTTATGAATATTTCTATTTATCAGACTGTCGTTAGTACCAGCAATTAAATTTGGAGTATTTAACATAGCAGGTCCACCATTTTGTTTCGAGTGACTCATATTCCCTTTACTCGACGGTGTATTTCCTGTTTCTTTCTTCTGCTTTCTTAGGCGAAAAACGAGAAAAGAAACTGCTATTGCTACCAAAAGAATAATGAAAAATGATATTACAAGTATCAAACCAATATTTAATGGATCAGGATTTTGAACTAAGCCAGCGCCAAAGGCACTGTGACATCCAGGTAAAATTTTTCCGGTTTTTGTAACTTCTTTAAAAATACTACCATTACCAGCAAATGGTTGAATCTCATTATTCACAGTAAAGTTTGCAAAACATCCTTCAAACTTATTATAGTTTGTAATCCATTCTGCTTTTATCCCTCCTAAGGAGATTATGGTTAAATAGGGATCTAAGAAATCATGAACTCCAGCAGCGTCTAGTTCTTCTCCAATATTTTTATTATCAATAATTAGCCTTATACTTCTTCCATGAGCTAATAACGTTATATTATGCCAATTTCCATCAGAAACATCAAATGTTTCTGTCTGGCTCATATTAACAATAGTATTTTGTTTCGAAGTGTAAGTAACTTTACCGCCGAGTAATTCAATTAGTGTGTAATACTTATCTGTTGCAGAGTAAAACAGAACACCTTCTTTTCTATATGTTCTGAATAAAAATGAAAGGTACTTTGCTGGATTATTAAGTTTAGGTATAGTCTTTCCTTTATATAGTTTTCGCTCCCACATTGTACTTCCGCCATAAAATGAATCTAATAATTGCATTCTTCTATGTTTTTCAGTTATAACATAAGATATGAAACCGGTCTCACCAACAGAAATGCTTTGAAGCGACAATGAGCAATCTGCTGAAATGATATTGTTATCACACTTACAGTAGTGAGTCTTCCACCTATCAATACATTGACCAGATCCACAAAGTTCTTGTTTGAAGCATGCACCTTTTTCTCTCCTGGCGCAATTGGGATGAACTCCTCGGGAATCTAATGGATTTGTTAGATTTAGAATACGTCCATTGATCGTTATACTGTGCAAACAGCCAACAAAGTCATCAGAATGAATTTGTCCTGGCCTTTCTAACACTGGATCAGCCTTACGAAGACCTCCAATAAGTAGTGGTTCATTATTGAAATTTAAGGTTCTGAAACAAAATTTAAAATATTATTAATTTCAAACATCTAAATAAAATATCCTTATTTTTTTTTATTAAATAAAATTACATAGAACTACTCACCCAGCTTGTCCAGTATCATCGTTATAACAAGAATCGTCGCCCGGTTCACACTCGGTGCAGACATCTCCATGATCAGTACAAGATCCAATACTGAGTGATATTACTCGACCATTTCTTGTAGCCGTCAGTTTGTACCATTTACCATCAGCAAGATTTTTATCAGTATCCATCAATGCCACGGAAGTAATAGATGTTCTTGATCCACCAAATGAAAAAACAGGCTTGCCCCCAAGTATTTCTATTGCAATGAAATCTGATCTTCCTCCTGTTTGGGCACCATAATTATACAAAAGAAGGGCGTCCGACTTTGTAGTTGCAAATATTATTGTAATATCGTTGGTAGATGCATCTAATGCCGGATATTGCATATAAGACAATTCATCAAATCCAAACGTTGAGCTTTCACAATGTGTCCCATAACGGCCATTTACGCAGCTACATTTATATCCTGGTTTCAAACCAATACATATTCCTCCATGTAAACAAGGGTTAGGTCTGCAAGAGTCTACCAAAGCTTCACATTGATTCCCTCGATAACCAGGACGACACAAACAAAAGAAGGAGTTTCTATCAGCACTCTCCTTACAGGACCCCCCATTCTTACATGGATTGCTACTACAGACATCATTTCTTTCCAATTCACAAGTTTTTCCATGACGTCTTGATGAACAAGAACAAACAAAATCATGTCCTAGCTTACGACATACTCCTCCAAATTGACAAGGATTTGGTGAACATGGATCTTGACGCTTTTCACAATTACTACCAGTGAATCTGTCTATACAATGACACACATAATCGTGACGCACGAGAGGTGATGAAAGTATTAAACTAGAGCTTTCTACTATCTTCGTACCATCCAGTACGTCTATAGCGTCTGTACAAGTACCTTCATTTTGGCATTGATGAGCAGAACATGGATAGAATGGAATTATGACTTGACGTTTTAGTACTTTTTGCATTTCAAGTTGTTTAGATTTTAAATGTTTTTCTGTGTTTTCTTTACTCCAAACGGAATTGTTATCTTTTATAGCGATCAACAAATCTATATCTTGAACCTTTTCATTGATGCTATACAAGTAAACAATCTCTTTATTTTTTAATCCACCTCTAAATATTTCTAAAACTGTTCTATAATAGTCTGTTAGAAAATCTGTAGCTGTCATATTGATTATCCTAGCAGTTATTGACTGTTCGACAGTACTATTTGTGAAGCTAAAGAATTCAACACTTATTGAGGATACAACGTCTTTATGAATTCCATCGTTGCCTGATACTGAGAAAGAATATCCTTGACCAGGTTTAACAGTATTTGTGTAGAGATCACATCCTTTTCTAATATTAAATAATGATAGAGTGGTGTCAGATGTGGAATGTTTAATTAATTTACATTCGTAGTCACCAACTATATCAGAGTCGTTAGGTTTTACGTCAGCTATTGGTCCACTTGGTATTTTATTGTTGAATGTGTATACCAAAACATGAGCTGATCGAGGAGAAGGTGGATTATCGTTTTTGTCTAATATTTTAATTTGAAGTGAAAAGTTAGAGTACATAACCGGTGTTCCACTATCTTCCACTTGTATTACTATATCTAAATAAGGAGTAACCTCTCTATCTATTCTTTTACTTGTCAAAAGTACTCCTGTATGTTTTTGGACTTTAACATAATTTTCATGTCTCCCTCCAACTATGGCATAGGTGAATGGAGCACCATTAGGCGGTAAATCAGGATCATTTGCTGATAATGTGGTTATGCTTGTATTCGGGGGCTCATTTTCATACACAGCTCCATTAAAACTCGCTGTGTCTATGACTGGTCCATTATCATTAATATCTGTTAAAGTTATTTTGACAGTAGCAGTACCCGTTTGAGGAGGAACCCCTGTGTCAATGGCACCAATTATAAGAGAATAAGTTGATATCTTTTCCCTATCCAAATTTCGAGCAACTTCAATATTTCCACCCTGTGGATCTATTTTAAAATCTTGGTTTAAGTTCCCGTCTATGATGGAAAAGCTAAATTGATTATTTTGTGATCGAACATCTTTATCTACAGCTTTAACTTGGATAACTTCTTCACCGACTTGAGAGCCCTCAGATATAGTTGCTTCATAATAATTTCTTAGGAATTCAGGAGGATCATTTCCGTCCTGAATTGAAATTATTACTTGAGCTTCATCAGTATCATTTCCATGTATTCCACCTGAATTTTTTGCCAGCACTGTCAGTACAACTCTATTCTGTGTTTCTCTATCTAAATATCTTGCAACTCTTATAACCCCAGTCTGTGAATTAATACTAAATCCTTTATCATTACTTGAACCGACTAGTAAATAATATATAATTCCATCATCTCCACTGTCTTGATCAGTAGCCTGAATAACACCAACATTTGTTCCGACTTCAGCTGATTCAGAAACATCAAAATGAAACACAGGTTGAATGAATTTCGGGTAATATTCATTTATGCCTGTGATGTAAACTATAACTTCTGTTGTACTTTGCATGACTGAATCGGGATTTTCAGCCAGTATTTGTAAGTTATAAACGGTTTTTTCTTCAAAATCAAAAACCTCTTTAGAAAAAATATCACCTGAATTTTCATCTATGGAAAACAGGGCGGACATTTCATTTTTAATGTAATATTTTATAATAGCATTTTTGGGTGAGTCAATGTCTGTTGCTTTCACTTTATAAATAAAACTCTTGGCTGGTGAATTTTCAGTTAAATAGGCGACGTATTGGGACTGATTAAAATGGGGAGCATTATCATTTATATCTGTTAAAATAATTGTTATCGTAGCTGTCGTTTCTCTTGGCTTGAAACCTAAGTCTTTTGCAGTAATATTTAGCCGATATTCCTGAATTTCATCATAATCAAGTGATCTTAAAATACTTATAGTACCAGTAACTGGATCTACTTTAAATTCTTTTTCTTCATTACCTGATGTAATTGTGTATCTAACTATACCATTGGGTCCCTCATCTTCATCTTTAGCATCCAACGACAATATTGATGAACCTATTGGTTCATTTTCTGGAACTATCACTTGATAACTCAAGGCTGTAAATCGTGGGCTATAAATGTTTTCTCCAGTAACGACAAAAGTTACTGTTGTTTCATCCCATTGTGGCGGTACACCACGATCTATTGCTTTAACTTTAATTTGGTAATACTGCCCAGTATAATAAAATTGCTTCCCGATAATAATCCACCCATTAAGTTTATCAATGGAAAAATAAGTCGTGCCATTGCCACCAAATATATTATATTCAATTTCAGCATTTATACCGAAATCTAAATTATCTTCGGCTTGAAGTTGTATTATTTTTTCTCCAACAGTAGCATCTTGAGGAACCGGTACTAAATTCTCATGCTCTTTAAATTTAGGTTTATTATTATTTGCATCTACAACATTTATAGTGACTAAACACTCTGATGACATGGGTGGTTTTCCATTATCAGTAGCCACGACTATAACAGAATATGTATTTTCTGGGGATGTATTAACAGATGTTCTTTTGTAATTCATCATAAATTTAGTTACTATCTCTCCAGTGGCAGGGTCAATTGAAAATAGGTCAGAGCTTTGTTGTAAGGAGTAAGAAATAATTGAATTAGAACCTTGTTTGTCTTTGTCAGTGGCTATTACTTGACCAACAAAACTATTTTTGTCTTGAAGTTCAGGAAAGTTGAAACTATAATATGAATATTCAAACTCAGGGGCGTTGTCATTTTGGTCTTGAATAGTTATAGTCAATGGTGTTTCAGATCGCCAAGCTCCATCTATGGCTGCAACTTTTAGAATGTATTCATCTTGTAGCTCTCTATCTAACGGTTTAGCAACAGTAACATTTCCACTAATCGGATCTATCACAAATTTTTCTCCAGGATTTTCCACAAAACTGTATGTAGCATTAGCATTAGGGCCTGTATCTAAATCAGCACTTGTTACTCGTATAACGAAAGAACCGATTTCAGCATTTTCAGTTACATTGACGCTAAAAAGTCGAGTAAATCTTGGTGGATTATCATTTTTATCTAAAACAGACACCAGAACAGTAGACGTGCCAACTAATTGTGGTATTCCATGATCAACAGCTTCAACTAAAATTTCATAAAATGGTATTGATTCTCTATCTAAAGCAATATTGGTAAAGATTTCACCACTATCTGAATCAATAGCGAAAGTTTCTTCGTAATCATTTACAAGCCTATAAGAAATTCTTCCATTTTCATTTGAGTCATCATCATGAGCTTCAATCTTTATCACCATTTGAGGCGGGGACTCTTCTTCAGGAATGGATGCGTTATATAATAAACTTTCAAGAATAGGAGCATTATCATTGGCATCCGTAACTTTAATTTCAATTTCAATAAAAGATTTTAATGGTGGATTATCAGAATCTTTTACTTCAAACCAAACTTCATATAATGGCATTGTTTCATAGTCAAAGCCTCTACCAGTGATAAAAATTTCACCACTCATTGGCTCAACTCTTAAGGCATCACCTACATTTCCTCCCGCTACTGAATATTGAAGGAGTCCAGTAGGTCCAGTTTTTGGGGATGTTGCTGAAAGTCTAGTTACTAATACACCTTCTGGGGTATCTTCAGAAAATGAGAAAGTTAATTTGTTATTCACGGTAAATTTTGGGAAATTCTTTCCTGATTTTGGTATTAAAATCAATTCAGCGGAACTTTCTCTAGGAAATGTTCCACTATCAGTTGCTAGAATAATAAGATTAAAAGTCGATCTCATTTTATCCTTGTATTTCATTAAATTTTCTTTTGCTTTTATTACTCCTGTGTCCTTATTGATGGTAAAGAGGCTATGGTGTTCTCCCTTTAAATCATATACAATTTTTTTATTATCTCCAATATCATTATCTTTCGCTTTCACGCCAAAAACAAAATCACCTTGTACGGTTCTCTCAGATATATAAACCTCATATAGTGATTGAGGAAATGTTGGTGTGTTGTCATTTTCGTCTTCAACTAAAATTGTAAGGTTCGCGGTAGCTGTTCTTGGGTCTGTTGTTGAAGAGTCTTGTGCCATTATTATAAGGTAGTAGATTTCCCACTCTTCTCTGTCCAGTGTTGCATTAGTATAAACAACGCCAGTTACAGGATCTATTCTAAATCTTTCTGATTTATCACCTAATAAACTATATCTTATTTTTGCATTATTACCTATATCTTTATCTATTGCTTTGGGATGAAGTATTTCAGTTTCTGGTGGTAAGTTCTCTTTAACACTTGTTTTATAACTTTGCCTCTGAAAGTCAGGACTGTTGTCATTCACATCTTGTACAATAATTTTGACAGTTCCAGAACCAGTGAGTGGGGGAGATCCTGCAATAATTATAAAAATGTAAATAGTATGTTATTTAAAAAATATAAATTGAATGTTATACAGCATGTTTAGGTAATTTTTTTTTTCGTACCTGTATCCATAGCTACAAGAGAAAGTGTATATTCATCTTGAGCTTCACGGTCTAAAGTCCGTAATAAAGATATTTGTCCCGAAGAAGCATTTATTTTGAAGAGATCTGAATCACCCTCTTTTATAAAGTATCTTACTTGATTGTTGAATGGAGGAGAGTCTGCATCATATGCTTGTACTGTTAGAATATATCCTCCATAAGGTGGAATTACATTTTCCATAACATAAGCCAAATATGGCGTATCAAGAAAGGTTGGTGGGTTATCGTTTATATCTTGAATAGATATAGATAATTCTGCAGTGTCGAACCTTATATCGTCTTTACCACAGTCTTCAGCTTTTATTGATAAAATATAACGGGATTTTCTTTCAAAGTTCAGATTTTTAGCTACTCTTACAATCCCAGTATCCTCACTGATACTAAAATCTCTATTTTCATCACCTGATGCAATGGAGTATCTTACTCTACCATTAATACCTTCATCGACATCGGTTGCAGATACCTGAAACAGACATTATAAAGCACTGTCATATACAATTTCAAAAGGATTAATTTAAAATATATAATATTTAAATATTTTGGGGTATACCAATACACAAATTTATATTAAATAAACTTACTTGTAACACACTTGCTCCTATACTTGCATTTTCAGGCACTGAAGCACTGTATTGTTTTGGATCAAAAACAGGACTATTGTCATTTTCGTCCAAAATTTTAATAAAAATTTTGCCTTTTGTAACATTGGGTGGGTCCCCTCTATCCTTCGCAGTAAGAAGTATTGTATAATTTGATTTCAACTCTCGATCGAGTTTCCCAGTTGCTCTTAATATGCCATCAACATTTCCTAATGTGAAATAACCATCTACTTCAGGATCTGGCGCCATAAAGTATTCAACGTACCCATTTCTACCTTCATCTTTATCAACAGCTTTTACAGTCATTATCACAGTATTTAATGGAATATTCTCAGATATTGCAGTGGTTTTCGGAGAAATAAATTCAGGAGCCATATCATTTACATCTTTTAGAAGTATTGTAACCTGAAATGAAAATATTTACATATATGTTATAACGAGTATAACGACAACTGTGTCTAAATCTTTGTATAAAGTATTTCAAGACTTATATTATATTTAAGTGATGAAATACTTCATTTTCCCGCGATACTGAATAAGTAACCTAAAGAATTAAAACAAAAAAACTATCTCGCATAAATAACTCTGTATAGATTTTATTAAAATATCAAAAAATTGAAAAATCTTGTTAAAAAAGTGTTCCATTACGATAATAGGTCAAATAAGAACATTTTAATCACTATAACAAATAAATGATAACAAATAATAATCATCAACATCTCTGAGTAAACATTGTATACAGAAACAAAACCTTTCATAGGTTATGGTACAAAATCAATACTTCTCAGTCAACTCAAATGGAAAATATCAAGAGTATGTGAAAACAAACACAAGTCTGCCGGTACAAAAGCAAATATGTAGGAAAAGACCGTCGTAAAAATGTCAAAACTGTAATATATATCCTATTTTATGACAGTAAATAATATTACCTGCACTGTAGCTGATAACCGAGGCTCAGGTGGCTTAGCTAAGTCCTTAGCAGTAATTACTAGATTGTATATTGGTATAGTTTCTCTGTCCAATAATTTTGATGTGACGATCGTACCATTTGAAGATATTTTGAAATCCTGGTTGTCATCCCCCGAAAAAATACTATATGTCAATTTCCCGTTAAAACCTGTAAAAAACATTTTATTTGTGATGTTTTTTTTTATTTATAAATAAAACACAGGCGGGAACCACATTTTAAGTATGAGATAACAGTTGTTCAACATCGAATAAACCTGAATTACCTGAATCGATGTCAGTAGCGCTAACAGTCACCACAGATGATCCAACTGGGACATCTTCAAGAATTTCGTTCGAGAAACTCATGGGATCAAAGACGGGCGCATTGTCATTTAAGTCAATAACGTTTATGTACACCGTCACTGTACCAGAAAGAGAAGGATGTCCATTGTCTTGCGCCTGCGCAACTATTATATAGTGTTGAGTCTGCAAAAATAATTTAGATTTCATTTTAAACATATCATACGATGTACCTACATACATATATGTAGGTTATTATTTATTGTTACGTCTTATGTTTTCTTAAAGATTACACGGTGACATAACAGTTGTATTTTGTTTTATCTATAATACAAAAGTTCATTGCTTTCTAAGTTTTAGTTTACAAAAATATGATAAATATATTAATAACCCGACGAATGTTCCATATAATAGGTCACCAAAGACTTCCAACTATGACAAACTCACTCATTCGTGGATCGTGAAGCGAGATGGCGATTTAAAAACAAGCAGCGGTCTCGGAATCCGGCTTTTGAATGTTTTGCCGACGGTCGCTTTGTCAGACATTGTTCAGGCCTTAATTTCGATGGAGGATCGAGTGGGCAAATGCCGAATATGATGCGCGACGCGAAAAAACTGTACCGGGATAAAATTAGCAGCTCTCTAGAGGGGTACGCGGAATTGGCGGGCGGTCGAGAAAACGAATGTACGGCGAATTGTTTTTACTAATTAGCAGTTACGACTGACTTGATACTTGATTTGTGTATTCCTTCTGCTCGAATATGTGGTTAGACAGTTGCTTAGACAAAGAATCTTTATTTACATATAAGAACTGACGCAGCTATGTTATAATTATATATAACATGAAACAAGTACTATACATAATAATTACTAAAATGCTGGACATAAGTAACATTGATCTTTAACTGGAAGAGAGATTATGAGATATTTTATTGTATGTTACGTCTTTGTTTACAATTGGTGCAGTGAAATGAAAGCATTTCTAAACGGCAACATTTAGCAGTGTTTGCCACGCTCGTGGTCCGTGGCAGACAGGTTTGCATGAATAGCGGGATTAAATAATACCTCACGTGGACTCCTAATAACAGGATGTTGCAAAACATATTGCAATCCACTAATTCAATTTGTATATTGTACATATATTGAAAAATATAATAATGCTAAATCTTTGCCGTTATTTTATTGAACCAGTACTAATTGCCAACAAAATTTCGCAGCGGAGCATAAGCTTATACGTAATGATTCACGTTAATTAAATAGAATGATTTGAAAGTTTTTTTTTTATTATAAAAAGCAGGTTAAATTCGAACTGAAGGAGAGGCAAAAAACCTGTAAAGTGTGTATTCTACTCCGACGCGTCTAGGGTCCCGTAACATATTGAAAAAAGAGCAAATAAGTCTTCGAAGAGCTTAAATTGAATAACGACAATGAACAGCATATATATCTATATTATATTACATTAATACATTATGCATTCTCAAGAGCATAAATCAAAAATATTAATGGAGCTGTTCTTAAAATAAGTAATATTTTACTATTTTATATTCAAAATAATCCACATGGCGTGTTATTAAATACTGACAAGATAGGTGTGTCGGTCTTATGAACCTGACTTATATTAAAGATCTGCTCAAAGGCATCATTGTCCTTCAGAGTTGCGCATCTTTTCTACAACCCGCAATATTTTATAAAGCACGCAATAAATATTTCTTATCCTTATCTTATTTTTGAGCCTTAAAGCGTTTCAGAGAACTCAAAATTACTTAAGAAACCGCAAATTTGATGATCTCAAATAATTAATGAAGTCTTACATATATCACCTAATATGTATCTACTCGGTTAAAGTTAATAATTACGTCATAAAATTACTTCAAAAAGTGTATAAAAAATGTGTTTTAACCCAAAATTTGAATGTATTTCATTTTTACTTACATACTTTTGTGTTTAGTGTTCGTAAATCTGTTTACATAATCATAATACCGTGTTCTTCCTCGGTTCAATACATAATGAGTCATACGTTATGAGACTAAAACAAAGATCGTTGCTTAATTTCGTTCAACTTTTGGAACGTAACGCGTCGTGCAATAGAACTACTTGAACGGTCAACGGCCCGACTAAGATCTATGTTGAGATAATTGTCTCAACCGATACAAGTACACGAACTGCTCTGATGTGGACGATGGCTAGTCCACAGATATAGCTTTCAAATATCAGGAAGGATTAAATTAGACTTTTTCATTATATTTATTACATTCTCTATTAACAATAAACTAGTTTTCATTTGCCATTTTAGTAACATATTATTGATCTTGTTAACGAATTATCGTTATTATGAATTATACTATGCAATGATTGTATAAAAATAAACTGTATAAAGTAAACAATTAGATTTAATCTGTATTTAAAAGATTAAACTGCCTATTTCGATTTTCTGTCGGGAAATTCATATCCTCCGGTCAAACGTAATAACTTAAGATGCACGTTTTCTGCGAAAAGTGCACGAGACGGATTTTAAACGAATGTTTACACTAGGATTTCATTATGAATGCTACAAGGGCTTGAAATCTCGCACGATAAAATACGAAGATGCTATTATAGTTTGATATTCATAATTATCAAATATATTTCTTCTTCCTTTCCATCTCATTAAAAAACAATAATTCACACTCCTCTACTTTATACAACATCGTATTAAAAAATCAGCGATATTTTACAGCCAAGAGCCAAGAATTTTTATGTTTCAATTAACATTTTTGCTATATTTAGATCTGATTACAACAAGTGAAGTGTTTAATTACAGAGAACTATCGGGTATAAAAACGATTGTGGTAAGTGGCAGACAATTAATTAAAGTGTTCGTTCGAAAATTCCTTCCCACTAGTCCTTTATAGAAACATCTCTGTTAAATAGATTAACAAATTATAAAGGTATTGAATTGATCTAAAATTGTTCGACTATTACCCAATATTATTACGTAATTTACGATAACTTATAATATAAACAAATTTTTCAAATCTCAATTGAGTTGTAAGAACACGCATTATGATCAGCAAAAGCCCTTATTATCATAACCTCGTTAATACAACCGCAGTAATTGGTTATTATTTCAACCGGTGAATATTAAAATAAACTCAATCACTTAACCTTTTAAAGTGCTTTTATTTCTCACTATCTGTTTGTTGGACATAAAAATATAAAAGAAACATTCACACCCATGTTCAGTTCGCAACTAAAGACTTAATTACTTGAAACATAAACGAAGGAATAAATGATTTAATAAGGAAATAATGATGAGAAATAAAAGATCCACGTTATGCAGACTGGTTCAGAAAAAAACTATTAACTTACCTTAAGTTATTTGTATTTTATCTTTCTATGTATATAAATATAATCAGAGCAATATAATTCTTACCTCTTCATAGTCGAGGCGGGCTGTCAACGTAAAAATTCCTGTTTGCGGGTTGAGTGAGAAAACATCGTTAGCCCAATCCGATATGACATTATAGGTGAGTTGAGCATTTGGTCCGGAGTCGAGGTCAATAGCCGCCACTGTTCCAACCACGGAACCTCGGGCTGCGTTTTCTGGTATGTCAAAGGAGTAAGCACTCTCTTTGAACATCGGTGGATTGTCATTCGTATCGGTGACCTTGAATTAAAACAAAATCGATTTCAATACAAAACATTTCGTAATTTCGTTCCATTCCCACGCATGTGTGACGAATGCTCTTATTTGATGTCTCAGTATCGATAGCTGTTATTGATATGAAGTGTCAAACCTTTTTAAAAGAAAGTCCATGTTAGCGTCGATAGTTTAAATGATCGTGTAAATTTTGTACTGTAAGTGTCAGTTGTGTTAGTTTTCTCATCAAATAAATCAGTATAATACTCTTGTGACCGTTTTTTTTAGATTCCCGTTAAAAGTAGAAACTCCATGCAAATATATTTTAATTTATTTCAGTACACATAATATATAAGACATTGTAGTGGCTAACTTGAACATCCTGACATAATAGCTTAATTGTTTTTACAATACCTCGGTTATAATTAATACTTTTATGGAACAAAATAATGATATAAAATTTAAATATCACAGTTTCTTGATCTTTGACATATAGTTTCAAGTGTATTCACTTACCTGAACAACAATAGTGACATCTGTAAACTGCATTCCATCATCAGCTCTTATCAGCACATGGTATTCTGAAATCGTTTCTCGATCCAGCGGCTCCTTTAATGAAAGCTGTCCGCTTTGAGCGTCGAGAGCGAAGGGTGTTGCTTCATCTGTTTGTATAGTATATGTTATTGTTCCAATAGTATCGGGATCTTCTGCTGTAATTGTGGCTATCAGCTGTCCGGGAGCCAAATCCTCGGAGGCGAAATAAGCTGGTGGAATGTTTTTGAATTCCGGTGGGCTATCATTTTTATCTAAGATGACCACTTCGACCTGTAATTGAAATAATAAAAATAAATCATTGTATTTTTGTATTTTATTCCACTTAATTATATATAGAGTCTTTATTAAATTTGAATCCCTAACAAAAGTAAGCATGATAACAATAATATCGACAAAACATTATGGATTCAGAACATCTGATGTTTTATTTATAATACGGCCAGAAAATCGGCCACTTTAACACAGTATAAGAACACGAACGAAATTAATAATTCTAAAAATGCAGCCTGCGAGCGAGTCTCGACAAATGTGTATCTACGGACTGACAGGATGATAAAATACATTTAGGGTATTTCACGTGAAACTTTTTTAATGTGGTTGTTTTAAAATAAATACAATAGTAAATTATTTTTACATTGTCTAGATTACTTCGTTATTTTACAATGGTATCAAAATATAAATGTATACGAGAGTTTGTACAAAATTTCTTTATACATCAATTATTATATTAAATTATCGAATTGCTGAAAACTATAAAAAAATATTGTAATTAAATCTTAAAATCCATCACAAATTAGAAATATAAATTTGTAAGTAATAAATGGTAAATAATATTAATTGGGTAAAAGAGTGCCACACTTCTAAAGGAATTATTTGTGGACTTTAAATAAGGTATACAGTTTTATTCCGGCCTGATAAGATGAATTAGATAAGATTTATGAAGTTGAAGGCGATCTTTACAAATGCAGCCGGTGGACTTTTACAAAAAGCCGTTCGAACAAAACTCGACAAGTCAACAAAGGGACGGGGGAGCGAAAGACTTAAACCGCCATAGTTTCGTCATCCGTTGAGCCACAGAGAATTCGGAGCTCAATGATCGAAGACGTCATAGATAAGATGAGACCGATTGTTGAGAGTTCTCTGCCCTTGCTCAAGAGAAGCTGCGCATTTGTTATGATGACTCAATCTTTTCTTTGTGTTCAATAGGGTGCCGTCTCGAGAAGAAAACTTCACGACGCCTACGAGATTTTACGTAAGAGAAGCAGCAATTAACGTTGATTGTATGAGCGTGTCAGTTAGGGAATAAATTGAAATGTGTTAATAAAATTTATTGTTCAAGAAATAAGAAAGCTTGAGAAATGTTAAGACCGATTGTAAACATAAAGCACTTTATTGATATTACGGTACAAATTCACAGCGCATGTATAAATTTGTGAATAGGAACGGAATAAGTAAATGATGTACACTAATTGTATTAATGAAGCGCATTTAGTTACGTAAGGGGAACCAATAAGAAAGAATCACTAAGAAAAAACCGTTTGAAAAGTATACAAAAAAAAATGACATAAGATTTATTATGAAAAAACTTAGAAGTTATACGGCTTTGCTAGTGGACCCCCTAGAGTTCATGTTTGAAGTAATCGATTAAGGGAAGAGAAATGACAAGACGTCGGTTTAGTCGAAACCTCAATTATTCAAGTTTCGATAATTGATTACGTTTCACTACTCGATTAATGCGATATATCGAGCATTTATTATCTCGTGATGATTCCAATGTCTAAAGCATACATTATTTAACAATATTAATAGCAATAACATAAGAAAGACATGTATTAATTACGCTTACTTGACTTTTAATTGCGAAAATTTAATTTCACGTCTATTAAATTGAAAAATTTGCAATATGGAAATTGTATGAAAGGAAAACCCAAGCACAATTTTAAAATAAGTTAGTTGTAATGCTTAATTATATAAATAATAACTTATCCAAAGGATTAGTTATTAAATTATTGTAATAATATATAAATATGTATGTACAATAATATTATATGGAATATATTTTATAATAATATATCATTGAGATCAGATAGTGAAAGTTATGTAGGCTTTAAAGCTAAGGAGTAATTAATCAAATAAGGTACTGTGGTCTTACTTTTATTTTATTAGGGATCGAATTCCAGCGGATCGCTTTAGCTTTAAAAAATGACCTTACAATTTTGTCGTTTTGGCACAGCGCAATGTAAATTCATGGACATCAATCATTCTAGTCATTTACCTCCAAAATCTTGACGTCACGCCTTGATTGCCTCTCCCCATTTTTATATTATTTCACCTTGCACCTCTTTCAAAATATATTAGTTACTATGGGTATCGTAAAGTAATTTATCACTTGTGAAAATTGATTGTGCTTTTGATCCGTAACACTAATTTGGTATAGCGGTGATCAAGTTATATTATTTTTGCAGAAATATTTTAATATTACCACAGTGAGAATGAAGTGGATGGGAAATTTTATGGTTCCTTTGTTTCATGTAGGTGCGGATGGAGTTATGAACCCGGAGTAAGTCTGAGACCGTCGACAGATATGGTAGCGTAGGGTTAGACTGTGTTTAGAGAGCTTCGTGACCGCAAACTAACCGCTATACCCCGGAGACTTAGCACAATTATGTTGATCTTCAAGTTATTACAGGAGACTCAATGTTTTTGTTCATGCATTTTATTATATTATCTGCTTTGCGAAGTACAAAAATCAGCCATATACAAATACGATAAAGGTTTCTTCTTAATCATAGCGTTAGTGATTTTATTTTTAAATGACTTTTTTATTATATTAGGTAATTCTACTATGAATACATTAGTATGCTGATGGGGGGTCTGCACTTTACTCGTTGCCTACAAAACTAAGAAAAATAAGGAGAAAAGTATTCCGGATAAAGTGTACCGATAATAAAATACTCAGTTTCAATCGCCTTAAGCACATTTATTGGCCCTATGTTTACCAAAAAAACTTAGCAGCTCCACATCATTTTGGAGATGGCTTGATAGTGTCGCAAATTACAAAATTCACCAAGGATTTAACAATATATATAATAAATATGTGTAGTTGCAAATTGCAAAGCTATATACAACATATTTTTTACACAAAATAGTTACAGAAATATTATGTTATACAAATAGCTTTGTCAAAATATTTATAACGATTTTGACAAAGCTCATAATATACTGTAAGCTTACAGAAATCTACAGTATAACTAGCAATATTACGCAGTCAACTGAATAATAACGAAAATAGGAACAAGATTGATTCGATCAAAATTGTTGTAGTCGGATGACAAATTAGTATAATTTTCTTATATATTACATAAAAACTGTCCTTGTGGCATATGAATTCGCTAGTAATGCTTATCATTAAAGTCCATATCAAAACCCCAGCGGGCAGGTACTCAAGAACCTTTGATTTCTCCTAAATTTGCATCCCGAGGGCATTTACGTATTTCTCCTTGATCGATAATATAATTTTCCAAGTATCTCACATTTTCGAGATAGCTTGCATTTCGAATCGCGTGTGGCGAATAAATTCTGATAAACAAAACAGAAAACATAATTACATATCGGATTATATGCATTTAAATATTGTATCAGGATTCAAAATTAGAAACGCTAAACTATTTCGGCTTCAATTAGGGACGTAATTAAATTAATTACACATACTAGCAGTTAAATAAGAAAATATGTATAAGCAGCACTTTCTTGATGTACGTTTCTGTGGCGCACCATACGTGGTATAAAAGTTTTTTTTTTATCTATGTATTGTATATAAATTCGATATGAATTACGTAGGTTTAAAGAACATAATACATACTTATGGAACGTCAGTCCGTGAACAAGCCATAACCGTTATTGGATGTAGCGAATTTATAATAAGTACAGTATAATGCGAGTTAAATGGATAGAAGGAAACCTTCTAATATCTTGACGCAAACAATATTCACGGTCTCCCGGCAAATAAATGAACCACACGAACCAAAATCACGAGCTCTGAATTTTTCAAACGTCCGCCACGGATCGAGATGTTCGTAGGCACAGCGGCGACTACAAAGCGGTTAACGATTAAAGAACTAAAGCCAAATGAGACTATGTCATCTTTGTTTCATTTTATTATTTATAACAAATTGAAAATATCAAATTATGCGGCACTGTAATCACGATCGCGGTCGTGACAGTATTGTTATAGTATTTTAATTAAGAAATATATTTTATGTTTCATTCACTTTATCGCTGTATAAATAATGTTATTTTACATATTAGTTAACAATTTTAGCCGTGGAAAGATGTAGGCGTACGAGATATAAATTACGATAGCACTAATGATAGTACTCTTCCACATCGCAAAGTCCATTGATGACTCATGTCTCGAGAATTGTAATAAATATATCTCATCTGGCTTATCTGCAGTATCGATTATAGGTAAGAAACACCAAGTCATCGCTGGGAAAACAATAGCAATAATAACAAAAGAATTACAATGTCCGCTGCCAAACGTCAATATCACGCAGGTGGTTGTGGTTGTAACGGTGGGCGATGTACCCGATGATACAGTGACTAAAACACAGCACCGATGTCGCAACATCGGTGATTTCGACCGTCGGTCATCTCTAACGATGCAACGATAATTAAGATCGGACGTCAAAATTATTTACGCCTCCAGCATCCAGTTGACCTGAAAGCCAGTCACGACTTTTTCCTTGTAGTCGATACTATTGTTGCTCTACTCATGTTCAGCTAAAATGAAATTCATACATTTCAACTCCGGTGTTACATTGTATTTAAAATAGACTGTCGCTGTATCAGAATCATAATTTATGTAACTATAACAAATTACAGATGAAATAAATGTGAATGGTGTCTAGACAAAAAGTTATTGTTAAATATTAATAAACATACATAAGACTTTTATCTAAAGTATTTTTGTGTGAAGAACCAGTTTGGGATAAAAATTATGTATTTTACCAGTTGATAATTTAATCATTTATAAGGCCTATATATAAAAACAGACGATTTGCAACATTCTTTTTATGTTTTAAATAAACATAAAAGCTCAATTCTATACGCTTTTAAGCAACTTTTGTCTCTATAAAAGTATGACGAAATAAGAAGTTACAAATTCTCTTTGTACGGAACCTTACCCTAAAAACATTCCCACGAATTAGATACTAATAGAAAGACGTAATAGATATGTATCTGTGTTCTGTGCGTAAATTGAATAATAA